AGCCACGGTGTGGGGGCACAGAGCACTCTCTACAGGACCAGCTCTGGGGGGGCCCGAGGAGGGTCTGGCCACCCCTGCCCACAGGAAAGGCTGAGGGGGGAGCAGCAAAGGCAGGGCTGGGGGCACAGAGAGGGCAGGGCAATGGCATGGGCCTGAGCCTCTGCCCACACTGCAGGCAGCACCACTGCAAGCTGCTTCGGAAATCCCCCGTTTCCAAGGCAACGTGGGGATCCCACAGCTGGGAGAGGCAGAGCTGGAATGGGATGAGCTGCTTGCTGCCGGCACCTGCACCTTTCTGGGGGCGATGCTCTCCTTTTCCAGAGCTGGCTGGCATCAGCGTGATGCCCAGCTGGGGGCAGGAGGGTCTCCCCTCCTTTCAGCTTCTCTTCTCCTTTCTCCCTCACATCCCTTCCCCGTCTCCAGCTCTGAACCACGGGAGAAGCCAGGCCCTGCTGCCTGCTCATAGTTAGGGGAGGGAGCTGGACCCTGCCCTGTAGCCTTCATAGCTTTGGTGGCACACAAGGGTGAAGCCTGTAGAGCAGCTGCTGAGGGGTCCTACCTGCATAGAAAACTGAAACCCCACATTCCTACTGGCCTCCTTGGGAAGGACTGGTTGGTCCTCAAAGGCCAGTAGGAAACCAGTCTGGAGGTCAGGCACAGGGTATCCATCTGCTGACCCACAGCAGGGCCAGAGGCAAGAAGACACGCAGTTTTGAATGCCCTCATCCCCCATGGCGGCTGTGAGGAGGGATCTTGGTGTTGCCCTACCACCAGTGCGTGGTGGGGGCTGTGCCTCAGCACTGGGCAGGGTGCTGGGCATCCTCCAGCCCAGGCCAGGGATGCCACACGGCAGCACTGGTCACTCGTGCCCCCTGCAGTGACACCCAGTGATGGCTCCAGCGCCGGCAGTGCCGCTGGCAGCGAGACCGGGTGGGAGCCACCACTTCACAGCCCACCATGGAGCCGCTGCCTGCTCGTGGCACAGGGAGGGGTGTGTCTCCTGCCAGCTCTGGGGAGAAGCCTGCTCTTTTCCCAGTCGGCTGCTCCCTCCCGCAGCCAGCCTGCAGACACGAGCTCAGGCTCCAGCTGCAGCCACCTCAAGCACTGGGAGCGTTCTCAGTGCCACCACATGCCATCCTGGGGGGAGAGGTGGGACTGGCATCCCGCAGGTGTCCCCTGCCACCAGGAAACACAGCAATGCCCTCTTCCTCCATCTCCCCTCTGTGGTGATGGAAAGCTGCACCACTGCCTCCCCTCTTTGCTCCTGCCCTAAGGCAGAGCCTGCCAACAACCTGGGGATAAGCAGGAGTTTTAGGGGTTCCCAGGCTGGCTGGCTGCCCCACGGTAGTATCCTGTATGCAACTCCAAGCAGTGCATGAGTGCATACAGACACTTTTGCTTTAACCTGGAATAATGTCCTGTTCCCAACAGGCTGCTCCGTGCCTGAACCCCCAGTTTAGCCGACCTTGCCACACCTCACCCTGCCAGGGTCTGCCTGAGCCCATGGGACCCAGTGGGATTGCCCATGATGGCTCACTAAAGGTGCCAGAGGATAATCCCCTTTGCTCAGTAACTTCCCAGCCAAGGGGTAAAGTCTGGATACTCACTGAGGAGCACCTTCAGGCCAGGAACACTCTGGACATGCCTGAGACGCTGCAGGCTCATTTTGGAGGCAAACCCACAAGTTAAAAAGGCTCAGCCACTTGCTCTGGTATCTTTAGGCAGCAGACTGAGCCAGCGCTGGATTAATTCCATTCTGCCATGATTGAGGTTGTTGCTAGGCTACAGCCCCGCTCCCTAAGCCCGTCCTACTGCGGGATTTCCCCAGCATCACTCATCCGCCTGCTCGGGGCATCCCAAAGGATGGGCAAGCACCCCGGGCTCTCCCACCAGCTGGACCCTTGGATGCAGGGACCCTGCAAGCAGCAAACCCACTGTGCCCCCAGGCCAGCCCTGCCCAAGTCCATTCTGCAGCAGGCCTGGGGGCAGCCAGGTCTATCTCTGGCACCACAGCCCCCCTGAGTCAAGAGCATCCGCAGCCTTTCACATTCATTTTGTGTCCTGCTAAACCTGAGTTCCAATGACCTTTTCATGTTCACTGTTGGGGTGGGGAAGGAAGCAAATTCCCACCCTGGGGCCTTGGCAGGCCAGGAAAAAACCTTGTTATAACCTTATGGGAGCAACAGAAATAGGGTGAAGCTGCATCCCCCAAAGGGCAGCATTGGGGCACTCCTTGCATGTGGCCCTTGGCATTAACTGTGGAGGATGACAGAGGTCGTGTGCACTGGTGAGCCGGGATACAGCTATGGAAAAGGCCAGCCCAATTCCAGGGTCAGCAGGAGAGGGACTGTATGGCAATCATTAAGAACTAGCCCTGGCATGACCTCATCTGGGCTGGCACGACCACAGGAAGATGAACTCTGAGGGGAACTGATGCCAGTTGGCACAGCTGGGGGATGGACTGGCCTGCAGGACAATGGTGGAGCAGCAATAGAGCTCTTTGGCAAAGGGCTGGGAGGAGGGAGCAGCACTTAAACATAACAGTTCTAGCAAAGGAACAAATCAATAAATTGTCCAGGAATAAATCTGGATGGCAATGATCAGACAGCTCTCAAGCCCCAAGGCAAAAGGTGGTGGACAACTTTGCACAAGGATCATGGAATCATGGAGTAGTTTGGGTTGGAAGGGTCCTTAATGATCAGCTGGTTCCAAGCTCCTGCCATGGTCAGGGAAATCCAGGGGTGCCAAAGACTGAGCTGGAGTGGCGATGATGGGGGCTGCAGGGGCCCATCAGCCTGTCCTGGTGCTGGTTCCCCACCTGATGTTTGACAGGGGAAAGAGGCAGCCACAGGCCAGGCATCAGAGCCACGGTCCCTTCAGCACAGGCCCTGCAGGGCGGGGGCACATGGCTCAGCAGCTTGGATCTCCTGCAGGGATGAGTTTTGTGACAGCCACTAACACACATCAACATAAGGAAGAGCTTTTTTTAGCGGGCAGGGCAGCCACCTGTGCCAAGGAGACCTGGGCCATCAGGAGGGAAATGTGCACACAGGAGGAATCTCTGGGGAGAGGAGGTGCAGTCGGGTCACTCCGGGTCACTTGGGTGCAGGGCAGCTGGAAGGTCTCCCCAAAACCAGCTCCCAGCTGAGGAGCCTTAGGGCTGCCAAGTGAAGCCTGCTGAGATCAGGACGTGTCAGAACTCTGACTGCACCATGTCCCACCACAGCAGCAGCATCGTCACACACTGGGAGCTGCCGAGAGTGACGGGAGCTGTGAACTCGTCCCACTCCAGGGGTGGGTACAGCAAGGAACACTCCCCACATAAACACCCCACAGGGGCTGGGGCAGAACCTGAGCCATCACGGCTGGAAGGGCACAGTGGGTGGGAGTAGGCACCCATGGAGTTACTCTCCTGCCTTATCTTGAGTCCTGTGGCTCTCAGCTGGCACAGTAGAAGCCAAGATGCAGTGGGATGGTGGCCAAGGGCCCTGTGGATCCCAGCCAGGCAGGAGAGAAGGCAGTGCCCTGTCCCCCATGGACGAGGCTCCTTGTGCTGTGTTGAGGAATCAGCCCAGCTGAAGTGCAGCAATAAATCTGCTCTTCTTCCTCCTGCTCCAAACCCAGGGAGCAGTAATGCTGCAGCTCTGGCCAGTGTTAGCTTCAAGGAACTGAAGCTTCTTTAGCCTCAAGCTCGATTTTTTTTTTTTGGATGACTGATAAAACCCCAAAGCAAATACCCTGGTACCTCTAGAGATGCTCACAGGAACTATTTATATCGATGTGATCCTGCAGAAGCTTTCCCATAATGACAGGTATGTACATATACTTTTTATATTTAGCTTCTTTGAAAGGCTGGGCATGGGACAGTCTGGCTCAAACAAGGCTTGTTTCCTTCTCCCCTCCCTCACGCTTGCTGGCTCTGGATCACACCTCATGCTGTAGCCCCAACCAGTTCAGCATTCCCTGGAAAAGGGAGAAGCCTTAGTCTAAAAAGGCCAAGTTGGACAGGGCTTGGAGCAACATGGTCTAGTGGAAGGTGTCCCTGCCCATGACAGGGGGTGGAACAAGATGAACTTTAAGGTCCCTTCCAACCCAAATCAGTTTGTGATTTTGTGTGTATTTTAAAAAGTGCCTTTTTGCTGCTATTCCCTTCCACACTCCTGCTTCACCCACAGGGTAGGATTTCTCTGGCCTCGCTGCAAAAGTCAAACCATGCCACACACCCTCCTGGGGCTCTAGAGTAAGTAGAGCCAGCTCCCACATCTGCTTTTCCTCTTTACAGGAGTATTTTAGAACAAAATGACTAATCTTTGCTTGTTTTTGCCACAGCTCCTTGTGTTGACAAGCCCCAGGGAGTGTGAAGGCTCCTACAGTGGCAAACCTGGCCCAGGTGCCAGACAAACTGAGGAGAGCACTGGCGATAGGAGGGACAGGGCACCAGTACAGCCCCCTGCTAAACACACCTGACCAAAACCACCGGCCCTTCCACACCGGGGAAAGCAACACCTCCCTCAAGGCAGACTTCAGTTCTGGGGAAAGAGTTCATGGTTTTTACATTCAGCTCCTTTTTTTTGGACTGATTTTTTAATTCCATGCCCCATCCTGTGAGGTTGGGAACACAGCAGCCTGAGGAGGGGCAGGGAGACACCCCTCTGTGACAGGGCATGGAGGGACACAGGGCTCCTGAGCCCGGGCAGGAGTGCTCTGGGGGAGAAGAAGATGTGCAGAGGCAGGTGTACAACAGAGCTTTATAGTCAGAATGGACTGTACCAGGGTTTTTCGATGCAGAAATGGAACATGACCCAAAATCGCCCACCTGCCTTCACGCATGAGGGGCCACCAACCATTCCTGTTCCAATCTTCCTTTTCCTCCCCAGATGTGCAAAGCTTGAACAGTCCCATGCAATTTCCCTACAGTGTCATGTGGAAGAGGAGGCAATGTCATGTGTTCAGAGGAGGCAAATGCTAATGGCAAACAGACCTGAACAATACACTGCTCATGCAGCAAAAAACCAGTTTGTTTTATAGGGAAATGGTTACAAGTGCACTTTGTGGGCAAGAAAAAGAAAAATGGAGCAGGAAAATGCCTGCTGGTCAAGACAGCTCTGGAGTGGATAATGAATCAAAAGAACACATTGCTTGATACAGGGACACAGAAGGAAAACTCCAGTTTGGATTTCATGGTTGACATTTTACAACAAAAAGGGGAGAGGGAGAACAAAACCAAACCCCAAATCAACTTACAAGCAAGAGGGAAATGTAATGCACAGAACCTGAAGGGAGTTTCACCATCTGAGCTGAGCAAGGGACCCCAGAACCAAACCAGGAGGAGCACAGAGAACTGACCAGCTCCATCAAACACAGGGGCTGCTCAGTGAGGCACAGGGTGGCCGCAGTGCCCATCCAGTGGCTGCTGAGCAGGTACCAATCCACGGGTTTAAGTTCAAAGCAAAAACTAAAAGGCTTCCCAAACACGGGACAGAGGGGGCTGTGCTTGGGGCAGGAAAGGCAGCACGCTGGCTGGCTGCAGTATGGACAGAAGCTGGAGCAGGACGGACGCTGCTGAGCTGCAGTGCTGGTCCCTCTCTGTGCAGAGCGGCAGCTGGGGCTTTACAGCCTGTCTGTAAAATGCCTGAGAAGCAAATGCCTTGCCATGCCAACACTGCCCTGTAGCCAATTCTGAAGCTCTGGATATCTTCATTTCCACATGGAATCATGTCCCTGAGAGGTTCCGGCAGGAGGGGATTCTGGAATATGCAAATTTAAGAGTGGGAAGTGCAGAAAAGCATTGATTTTTCTCTCTCTTTCAGGTTAGCTTTCCACTTTGCATTGTTTTCCCAAACTGCATAGCAGCTTACATGTAGTGTCTGAGACACTGGGGCCACGGAAATCAATGGGCTTCATGAATTCCAACAGCAGCACCAGTGAGGGCTAATTAAGCTGCTGTGCAGAAAGGTCCCGTTCAAAGGGCTCCAAAAATCACACGCGCTCTCTTCCATGCTGGCTCTGCGCCTGCTACTTTAGAGAGCTGTACCATAGATGATCTGCTTGACTTAAAGCTCATCAACTGCTGGGTGAAGCTATGGCCAATATCACCTTTCTCCTTAAAAAAATAGGAAGGATAAGAAGTTAAAGACTTGAGACAGTCGAGCACGATGCGTTCATGCGGCATGTTTTTGTACTCCTCTTAACAAGACAGGAATTTCAAGTGTGCAGCAGTGGAATGCAGCAGGGATGGAGCAGGAGGCAGGTCCCCTCACCCCCACACCCTGCCAGTGACCCCACGGGGCATCTCTCAAGGAGAAAAGCCGACAACCTGGAAGCCGCACCCTGAACCTTCCCCTGGCTCACGAACATCTCAGCTGCGCTTGCTTTGTGTAACGATGCACCAGGCCAGCACACACAGATGTAAAGCTTTTGTTTTGCTCACTCTGGTTTGAGAGAATATACATCAAATGGCCAAAGCTTTACACATCTGTGCCTGCCCTGGGGTGACTCGTCAGAGAAGATGGAGACAGCCACAATGCAGAGTTCACAGCCAGCCTACAGCTCCTCATAGTCCCCTCCGCCCCGTGGCTTGCTCATGCTGGTTCCTCCTCCGCCAAGAAAAGCCTCAAGTTCATCTATCTCACTGCTTTTCTCCTTGCTCTTCTTTTTCTTTTTCTTTTTCTCTTTCTCCTCTTTGCTCTCCTCCTTCTCTTTGCTCTTCTTGTGTTTGCTCTTCTTTTTCACTGACTTGTCCTCTTCCTGTAAAGTAAGAATATTTTTATTAGTAAATCCTCTGACTATTCCAGTGACCCAGGATATACTGCTCTGACACTTGGCTCTGATGGCGATCACAGAATGGTTTGGGTTGGAAAGGACCTTTTAAAGGTCACCTAGTCCAAACCCCCTGCCATGGGAAGGGACATCTTCAACTGGATCAGGTTAGGGTGAAGCATCTACCACCAAGGCTGGCTTGGAGTTAATTCCAGAAGACCATTCTGCAAGTTTGGACAGAAAATCGGACAGACCATCTGGCTTATATGTAGCAGTGGTCTGTCAGGCAGTTTATGCCCAACAATACCGTGCTATTGGACAGGCAGAAATGGCACAGAAAAAGCCTCCTGCAGACTTTCCTCACTGTCCCTGAGATTAGGTCTGTTGGGGACACCCCTCTGCTCAGGAAAAATCACGATGCTATGAACACCCTCAGTCCAGCAGGATCTGCCTCATCCTGTATTTTACAAGCTCTAACACTCTCTTTTCAAAATTCAACTGCTCTAAAAGCTTGCTTTGAAGCTCAATGGTCTGCAGAGCCTGGGAGGCACACATCAGCGGAAGGATGTGAACACGGAAGGGAATCCACCAGGTCCCCAGAGGACACCATATAAGCCCACCCCTGTTCTTGGCTGGTAGGTAACATGGCAGATCAGCTCTGAGGAATTAAACAGTACCTCTTTGCTTTTCTTTTTCTTCTTCTTTTTCTCCTTAGAAGGTTGTTTATCTATTAAAACAGAAAAAAACATTGTTTTTACTCAATTTAAATGGTAAGAGATGCAATTCTGCTTTGGACAGGTGCAATTCTGACAACAAAATACTCCATCCTGGAGCCACGGGCAACGGCAATGCTGACACCTCAGGACAAACTGTGTCCCTTCAGAAACCAACACAGGCCCCAGCACTCACACCCTGACTCAACCATATGCACATTGTTTAATTATGAGCATTAATTATGATCTGTGTTAGCAACACTGACCTGGCATTCACTGTGTCACAGCTACCAAGAAACAAATCTGGAGACCAGCTCTACAAAATGGTCCAAAGGCTAAATTTGGGACTGGATTATTATTTCCAGAACTGAAGAAGAGCTCCTGGGAACAGTTTTCCTCTGATGGAAATCCTCCCAGGCATGGTTTGTGCTTCTCTGAGGATGACTGAAGATATGGTGCCAGCAGACAGCACACCCTGACAGGCCAACACTCACTGCTTCTCACACTGTGTATGGAAATTACATCCCCTAGCATCCCTGCTGCAGCCCTACTCTACAGGGGTGAATACTTTCACACTATTAAATGAGTCCCAGAGTCCATCACTGTCACAACATTTGTCCCACGTGACTGGCTGCTGAGCATCCACTGTCTCTGCACAAAACCTCCTTGAACAGCAGAGTATCTGCTTGGCTGTTTCACAGAAGGTTTCATGACTGCACCACATTTAAGATGTGCTATTTGACTGTCACTCTTACCTACACAGCCCTTTTTCCTCAGCTCCTCTGTAAATAGAGAAGTTTAATTGCCAGTCAAGTTCCAAAGGCTGACGACTGAGAAACGGTTTTATATTTATCACCGAAAGAGGAGAAAGGAGGAACCCACTGTGAATTATTGAAGATGCTAAACTGAAGTTAAATTATTGACCTGGGCCTCTGCAGATGCACTTGTAGCTATTTCAAGCTCTGCTGTTCAGCAGCTCAGAGTGACAAGCCGATGAAGCCATGGCAGCCTGTGATACCTTGCTCACACTTTTGGAACAGCTCGCTCTGGTGCTGCTCACAGCTTGCTTCCTTCCTTAAGTCCTTAACTTCCCATCTCTCATGGTGACATCAGGGCAGGTCTATAGGAAGTTGCTTTGCAGTAATGCCTAGACAGCAGGAACTATTTGCACGAGTAAGATTTGTTCCCTCAGGAAACGGGGAGAAAAACACAGCCTGAGGAATGCTTAGGTTGTGATCAAGATCCCACCCCATTTTTCCCAAAATTAGAAGAGGAAATTGGCAGGGTATGTCAGAGCACTGTGCTCGAGCTGATCCAAATTCTTGAGAAGATGGACACTGCAATGCTGAATACCACATGCCAGACAGGCAAGGCTAAGCAGGAAGCCTTACACAGCAGCAGCTTGGGAAAGATGTGCCTCTGCTTTCAGCTGGGACTAAAATAATACATGGTTGGTGCCATGGACAAGCGAGTTCCCCATCTCCTTATGGGGACAACTTTAAAGCTACTTATGCTGTGTTAAACCAGATTACAGACTCACAGAGGAAGTTAGAGGGTGTTTTATTTAGTACAAATTGGTTTGTTGACACCCTGGAACCACTTTGGAAAAAACAGATGCCTGACAAACAAAAGTAGCAAGAGTAGAAATAAGGTGTGAACTTTACCTTCCTCGCTGCTCTCCTTGGGACCAGCTTCTTCCAAACCCAAACCAAAGAGATCTGAGTCATTTTTCAGTTTAAATGAGGGGACTGTTGATTTCACAGGTTGGGGTGGCTTTGCCAGAGAGGTATCATCATCAGATACTTCTGAGAGGTCTTCCCGCACTGGGAATTCATCCTAGAGACAAGCAAAGGCAGGCAACACTGACAAATGTTTCAACCAAAATCTCTAACCATTTTGTACACAAAAATATCAGATGTCAGCAGGTGGGCAGAAGGGAAGGAAATGGCAGCTGAACTGAGCTGTTACTGCCTGAAAATCAATGCCCTGGATTTTATGAGCTCTCTTTCTTGCCTTGGTAAAATGCCTCAGTCACACTGGTACTGGCCAGGGTGTTTTGAGAACTTCACACTGGGGCTGCCGAAACCCAATTCCCAACGTAAAGGGATTAAATGAGACCTTCAGCTCTGTATGCCACCAGCATCAGCTTTTTTCTGCCGTGGGGAGGCACCTCTGTTTTGGGAAAATCAAACCTAAAAGGCTGAAAACTCATCTCCAGCTCTGAGAGACAAAAGCTGTGCAGCTCTAGGGGTCTCAGGTACCAGAGGCAGCAGGGCCAAGGAAGCAGAGTATGTCTGCAGAATAACTCCCTTCATCGAGCTAAAAGGGAATGTGCTCCCAGGGCAAATCTACCCCTTCACTGTGGGATAAAATCCAGGATGCTGCAGAGCCTGGAGACCACCCAAAAATCCTGTCTCTCTATGATAGGAATGGAAATTCAGTTTAATGATCTTCTGATACCATCAACTGATCCTCTTCAGAATTTGTTATCCAACCTTTCCATATATCTTCTATCCTTGTATACTGACTGAACACAGCCTTGCTGTGCCGCTGGCCGAGGAAATGCCCCCCACTTTGCTAATGGTGATGGCTTTACTGGTTTGCCTGACCAGTACACCTTGCAGTGGGAAAGCATTCACCTGTTATAGGGCATTCCCTGACACTGCTGCACTGACACCCTCACAAATCCCTTCTCATCAGCACATGCAAGAGATGTAAACTTGCTCCAAATACTTTGCTTTCATATTAAACTGCCAAGAAAAGCAGGAAGTGAAGATGCAAAATGAATGGAAAATTACTTAATAAACAGCATGACACATAGGCAAGGTCAAAGAAACTGGGACAACCACCCTTTCTACTGGATTCTGAAATGATGCAGACACAGGGAACCTCCTTGAACACCAGCTATCACAGACAACAGAGCACCCCTGGACAGCCACTGCCCATCGCAATTCACTGTCAGCAGTTTCCAGGGATTGCTCTGCAGGCTGCGAGTACAGGTCACTGAAATCAGGGACATCTCGAGCCACGCAGCAAGTTCTGACCAGCTCAGAGAGGAGGGGTGGGAGAAGTGTTTTCTCCATCTGTAATGTGGGGGGCTGTGGGGAGCCTCCTGGTGTACCCTGTGTTTGAGCAGACACCCGCAAGCACGTGCTGAATGTTGCAGACATTACAGCTACCTTGGCTACCCTGGAAAGTCCTTCCCAGGCAGACCTTCCTTCTTCCCTTTAAGCTTTGCCAAGCAAATTCTGTGATGGCCTTTTGATTGCTGGATTGACTGCAAGAAGCTCGCTTTCTCTGGCAGAGACACACTTCTACATGTTAAACTTTGGATGAAAACCCAGTAGCTTTGTATTTGGTACTTTCCACACTGCTGCACTGGCTGCGCTTTGGACTGGCTGAGAATAAGCAGCACAGTAAAACACATAAACACAAATCTTGTTTGTGTTTGTAAATACAAACCTTGTGTCAGGGGAGGTTAAGGTTGGATCCTGGGAGAAGGTTCATCCCCCAGAGGGTGGTCGGGCACTGAACAGGCTCCGCAGAGCTCGAGGGGGGTTTGGACAATGCTCTCAGGGATGGGGTGGGATTGTTGGGGTGTCCTATGCAGGGCTAAGGGTTGGACTGGATGGTCCTTGTGGGACCCTTCCAATTCAGGGTATTCTATGGATCTGTGATTCTGTGATTCTTGTTGCCATGTGGCTTTCACACTCAGAGCATTGGTGGGTTTGTGCTTACATCAATCTCTGCAGGTTGCTTAGCACCTGCCTTGCTGCGACTGCTCCTGAGGGAGGGGAGAGCAGATGAAGACTCTGCTCAGGGAGATGCCTCAACCCTTCCAGCTCAGCTCAGCACAGCTCACAGCAACACAGGCATGTTATTTACCATTTTCTTCTTCTGGCTGTCAGAATCCTCACTTTCAAAGTCTGGGTCATCCATAACAAATGAAAGCATCTGAGTAGCTATTGGTCCCTCTTGATCACTGTCAGACTCCTCGGGTTTCTCCTCTTTGACCACTTTCTGCTTGGAAGCAAGTCCTTTGCTTTGGGAAGTGGCCTTTGAGGCCTGGGCTGCTGCTGCAGGGGCAGCAGCAGTGGCTGCCAGGCCGGTGTTGACCTTGCTGCTGCTGTTTCGTTCAGACCCGGATCGGGGAGGTAAACTGTCAGGAGGCTTCGGGTCGGTTGCTTTGGTCAAAATTGCTTCACTCTGTGGTTTCAGAGAATTTCTGGAAGACCTGAGAAGAAACAAGTTGTCAGAGCCTGTCCACTCCCATTCTGTGGAACAAAGCACAATTACAGCTTAAGATGAGCACCCCTTAAGGGCTGCATTGTGGATCCCACTGGGAGAGGCAGTTCATCCCATGGAGGGTGTGGTCAAACACACCACTCAGGCTGAGGATAACCCTCATGTCTCTGTGGATGCTGAGGCAAGGGTGTCCATGCCAGCACATCATGCCTGATGTTGCCCACAGGATGTGGTTTGCAGAGAACATGACCCAGCTCATTGCTCCCCAGCACAGGGTGTAATGAGTGACTCCACCCCCTTCACCCAAGACTTGCCTCCTCTCTCCTTCCCACACCACTATGAACAGCTGTTCTGGTGCCCAGTTATGGGCTCTTGTTCAAATTTGAGGAAAAGGCTGGGTCACTCCCAAGCAGAACTGTCCCAGTGGCCACAGGAGCTCAGCGCTCCAAGGCAGGAAACACTGCACAAAGCAATTACACCTGCAGTAACTACAGCCCCAGCTCACAGCTGAAGGAACAGGCTCACAGAGACACCAAGACTTCCCAGAGGCTGCACACAGTCAGTGGCAGGACTGAGAAGAGGCTCAGGTTTGCCAGCACAATCCCACACTTCTGTCTGTGCTTTGTACCTTTTTTTTTCCTGCTCTGTGTTTTTGTCTTCATCTGGTATGAGGATGACCTTAGAGTCCTTCACCTCTTCCTCTTCCTCCTCCTCACTGGAGAGGGTGATGTTCTTGCTGGGCACCCGTTCTCCTGCCAGCACTGGTCTGCTGGGGATTTTGTCATCCAGATCCAGGTCATCTTGGAAACCTGCCACCATGGGGTTCCCCCCGGGTGCCTCTCCATCACTGCAAAACAGACAGGGATCAGACACCCACCCCAGGATGGGCTGGACAGACCTGTCTCGCCTTGGACAGAGACTGATGCTGGCCTGGCCTTTCCAGCCAACTTCAGGAGCAATGTTCTCAGCCCGGGGCAGCTGATGATTAAAGGGCCGGAGCTCCTCTGCTCTGGAGCCAGGCTGGGGGAGTTGGGGGGGTTCACCTGGAGAAGAGAAGGGTCCAGGGAGACCTGAGAGCCCCTTCCAGGGCCTAAAGGGGCTCCAGGAGAGCTGGAGAGGGACTTGGGACAAGGGGTTGGAGGGACAGGACAAGGGGGAATGGCCTTAAGCTGAAGGAGGGCAGGGTAGGCTGGAAATTAGGAAGAAATTCTTCCCTGTGAGGGTGGGGAGGCCCTGGCACAGATTGCCCAGAGAAGCTGTGGCTGCCCCATCCCTGAATATGTCCAAAGTCAAGTTGGACGGGGCTTGGAGCAACCTGGGCTAGTGGAAGGTGTCCCTGACCATGGCACGAGGTGGAATAAGATGAGCTTTAAGGTCCCTTCCAACACAAACCAGTTGGTGACTGTGATTCTGTGCAGTGCCAGCCTTCCCTTGCCCTCTGCCCAGCTCAGGCTGGACCTGTTCACCAGCAGCACTGGCATGAGCCCTGCACCAAACAGGCCACAAACAGTAGGATGTGTCACACAGCAGCTGCCACCTCTCAAGCTGGAAATAAATGGCTGGAAAAGGTGAGCCTCACTGGTAAAAAGCAGCCTGTGGCCTCAGCTCCATCAGAACATGGAGCTCCATCCAACACACAAGGATCAGTCAGTCAAACCATGGGAACTGCCTGCCCTCATCTCCACATCCTGTAATTAAACCTGATCATACACTGTCATTGCTATGGGAATTCACTCTCAGCTATCAGCTTCCTGGAATGGTTTCTATTTCTGTGGTGTTCCCTGAAGCAGACAGATACCCAGACCACGCTTTAACATTCCCAAAACTAAATTAACCTAAGGACACACATTCAGAGCTGGGAGTCTGTCAGCCTCTTTGGATGTAGCAGAGTTGTGTGTTCAGAGGCAGCTTGATTGAGAGCTTTGCAGCAAGTTGAGGATTCTTGTCTGAATGTCCCCAGGACTCAATTTTAATACTTTCTGAAGGATTTGCTCACGTCAGAAATATAGATTTTCCCCAGGTTCAAATGATGAGCCTTTGCATCGCTTTTCCTCATTCTACTTGCTTTATCCACAGAGATACCTAGCTCCTCCCCAGTAACCCACCACACACAAGTCACTGTTCCTTTAATGACACCACATGGATTACACAAGCACAGCCTTCATTTTTACACAGAGACAAAAAATTGTTATAGCTTGGAACAGATTAGATTTTAGAGACATAAACAAAATCCTTAAATTGGAAGAAGGTGGTGTTCCCAGTCAGTAGCACAAGGCAAGCACCGGAAGACAGAGGAATGCCCTAAACACTGTCAGGATGATGGTAACTGCTCACTCTGACTCTTCTTATTCGGTTGGATATCAGCTTACAAGTCAGTTTTAAAGAGTTAATACATCTGCCAGCAGACAATGGAGTTGTTTGTGACAATGGGACACCATGCTGATGACACCTGGTGCAGCCGGAGTGATCACAACCAGTGCTTGTCTGGGTTGGAGTGCCAAGATCTGGGCCAGCATCAGCCCTCCTGTTTCTGGTGTGGGTCCCTCTGCTCTCAGCACTCAGCACAGTGCCCGGCTGAAAAGCCCCTTCATCACTAACACTGCTGCTCTCATGCTGAGCCAGGAAGCAGGCACACAGCCTGGCCACACAAAGGAGAGGAAAACTGGTGCCCAAACCAGCCCCCAAGGCTGGAGGAATGACAAGTGAGCGATTCCTGAGATTTTTGCCAAGCACTGGCAGGGTTTCCTCTTGAAATGCACAGAAAAGAAAACGGAGTGGCATCCTAAAAATGGCAGCATATTATTCTGAACTAAAGACACTGCATTTCTTTAACACATCACTACTCTATTAGGCACAGGGGGTCTTCAGGGATTGCTGCCACTGTTCTACCACATACCATCCAGACTTGCAGCCTTTCAAGCATTCCCAGTCCGAATGGAACATCCATGTGTCTACACCCCTCGCCAAAGTGGGTCACCTCCCTTTGCAGTGAGTGCACTACCTCCATCTCTAACCAGCACACATCGCTGAGCGACAACTTAAGAGCAGAGCAATGGAGTGAATATACATCAGGAAAATCACTGCTGCAGTATAAAGAGGGTCTGACAAGGCAAAATTAGGATCAGCTTGTGGTCCTGAGGTTCCAGCTGGAAGGAAGGCAGAGCATGCAAACCCAACCACATTGCACGGCTCTCTCCAACCCTTGAGGCACTGCCAAGCTGGCATGAATATTGAGCCAGTGTGTTTGCAGGCACAGGTACCCCCCAAAAAATGACTACACTGGCCGAGGTCTGCTCTGATCACAGAGCCTGCTGGGGTGTCCTCAGTGAGCCTCCAGTGTGCCACAGAGTGGCTGCTGGGGAGGAAACAAACCCTGCTGCAACCTGAGCTCGGGGCCTCACACCTGGATGGGCCATGTTCCCACACAGCCCCAGGGCAGCCACCAGAATCCTCCTGCCATGTCCTTTTTGGGGGCTAAAGAAAGAGGACAAAACCCAAGCTCTAATAAAGCAGGTAAGCTGAGGGAATGCCACGTCACAGGATGAGCCTGCATGGCTGTGTTCCAGGAGATGGAGGCCTTCTACAGTGAACCACAGTCCTTGGCTTCCCTCCCTTGGGCTGCTGCAGCTGGGCACCACTACATCCACAACAGAGCCATAAAAGCAAAGAATCAGTTCAAAGCCCTGCAGAGGTAAGGGCACGGCACTCTAACCAACGTTTAAGATAACTGTCTAGGGATGCTAAGAAGACAGATCAGGAACACTGCCAGGTACAACATAAACCGGCTTTCAGACACCTCCAGACCACCCAGGACCCAGGCCAGCCTGACCCAGCAGGAGCCAAGGCAGGAGCTGCTTTGGAGCAAATTAGCTCCTTTGGTGCAATCACTTACACACTGGCTCAGGGCATCAGGTTAAAGAGCAGCAAATTAAGTTCTGAAACAGCAAACTGGGAGACTGAAATGCCTTCCTAATTAACTGGTAAAGAAACTGATTCCGGGAGTTCTCTATTGCAAGTCAAAGAACCATAACATACCATTAAGCAAAACCCAGGACTCCATTCATCTCCATAGGCCTGTGCTGGGGTTTAGCTACAGCAACCCCACGAGCTGTCACTAAATGCTGGAAGGTTCCACAGTTGTCTGATCCTTGAGGAGAGCAGCCCTATTCCTCCATGGGAATGTAATAAGTAGTAGTAGTTAAATTTACTCATCAAATTAGTAATAGTAGTTTACTCATTAAATTGTAGTGCATGTTATATTCTTATATATATATGTTATTATAATCACTGTTCTGTTACGGTTAGGAGACTCTAAGTTGTAGAATGGTTCATTAATCTATCAGCATTGTAAGCTGATAAGCATGTAGCTTGCAGTTTTTAAGCTAGAAAGACAAACTATTGTGCCTTGTTAAGTAAATACTTTTGTATCTTATTTTTCTAAAAAGCTTATTGTCTCACAACAGGCATAAAGTAGCAAAAGGAAAGAAAAGGATCAAAGGGTCAGGAACTGAAACAATACAGAGTATCCAAGATGGACATCTGGAGATGCCTGCACGCCAGGCCTCAAGGTCTAGGGACTGATTGGAACTATGGGAGGAGAAAGCACCTGGCAACCGAGACGAGCCCGCAGAAAAGCCAACCAGAACCAGACCTGCAAGCTCGGATCCAATAGGGGGACAGCAAGTGACAATGGGAGGGGAACTGATAAGGGAATAAAAGTTACTGTTTTTCCTTACTGCGCTTGCGCGCCGTGAGTGGAGCAGGAGTCTCCCCGGCCGCCCAGCATGCTGTTTTGCTTATTTGCATTGTTCATAAATCTTCAATAAATTTTATTACTATATTTCAACTCAGTTTCATTTTACTTATAACAGGAAGGAGCAGCCTGAGCACACCAAGCTCTGCCTGGGGAAGGATGAGGAGCCAGCTGGGAACTGAGGGGTCAGGGTTCAAGAGAGAACAGGTAAAGGTCACACCACAGTGGGTGCCTGCAACAGGTTGCCCAGCTGGGAAGAACAAGTGCATCAGGCCCTGTACAGAAAAGACAGAAGCAGCCTCATGTTCACAGGCCCTGGGCCCCATGGACCACTGAGTACCTGCTGGAGGGACAGGACAGCCAGATGTAGGCAACCTAGGAGGTTTCCAGAGTGCACTAAAGGTAACCTCCTCCTCCAAGGGATAAGAGGAGCCAGTGAAAGGTGCTCTGCTGGACCTCACACCCACAAAACATGAGGCACATGTTGGGAGAGTGAAGGTCAAAGGCAGCCTTGGTGAAATTCAGGATCCTAAGGGCAGGGAGGAAAGTAAAAAGCAAGCTGGAGCTCGGGAGAGCAGACTTGGGCATGAAGTCTGCTTTTAGGCCAGAAACTAGAGGTGTACCCAGGGATTAATATGGGGTCCAGTCCTATCCCCTTCATTAATCACCTGGATGCCAGGGCAGGGTGTACCCTCAGCAAGTCTGCACGTGACCCCAGCTGGAAGAGTGACTGATGCACCAGAGGGTCATGCTGACACTCAGAGGGACGTGGACAGGCTGGGAACGGGCTGAGACGTGGACAGGCTGGGAACGGGCTGACAGGAACCTCAAGAAGTTCAGCAAGGGGAAGTGTGAAGTCCTGCACCTGGGGAGGAACAACCCCACACACCAATACATGCTGGGGGTCACCAGCTCGACAGAAGAGGGCCTGGGGGTTCCTGAGGGTGCCAAGCTGAACACGGTGCCTCTGCTGCCAAGAGGGCCAGTGGTATCCTGGGCTTCCTGAGGCAAAGCAGTGCCAGCAGGTCAGGGGGGTGAACCTGCCCCTCTGCTCAGCACTGGTGAGGCCACAGCTGGAGTCCTGTCTCCAGCTCCACACTGGAGAGTGAGTCCAATGAAGGGCCATGAGGATGATTAACTGATTAACTTACTGGAGCATCACTCACATGAGGAAAGGCTCTCCCGTGCGAGAGTCAGGACTGCTTAGTCTGGAGAAGGTGTGGGAGGGACCTTGAAAGGCTATTTAAACAGTTGAAGGAGGTATAAAGACAGTGGAGCCAGGCTCTTTTCAGTGCTGCTTGATGCCAGGACAAGAGGCAAGGGGTACAAACTGAAATACAGGAGGTTCTCCACGAACATCAGGAAACACTTTTTCCACTGAAAGTGTGCCTGGGCACTGAACAGGCTGTGGATTCTCCATCCATGGAGATATTCAGAAGCCATCTGGAAATGGTTCTGGGCAACCAGCTCTGAGCAGCTCTGGATGAGGAGCGAGGTTAGACCAGACGACCCCCAAGGTGTCTTCAAAGCCTGTGAATGTATCTGCCACACACATGAAACCACAGCATGCTGAGGTATTCTCAGAGCTCACTGCAGGGCTCTTCTTACAGTCACTGAGGCAATTCCTCTCACTTGGGTAAGAGAAGGAACCTCACAAAGTCTCAAACCATGGCCCATTCTTCTACCGCATCTTCAATGGCTCTTCACTTTCAGAGCTCACCTTGGCTCCAGTGCCCCCAGAAGGAGTGCTGGAGAGCTGTGTAAGCTCAGCACTCAGGCATCTGCTTCAAAATGACCAGGACACCTGAAAGCATCTTGCTGGTATATTCTCAGGCCCCGTTCCTCACTCAGATACAGGGGGAAAGCAGCTTCTAGGATTTCATTTTTTAAAACCAATAAAATCTCCCTGAGTTTTGAGTGGTTTCACAGGACTGTGTTCTTTAGGTCCGAGACAAATTTCTGCAGCAGTGGATTTTGTTGCAATTGCAACCACCTCCTCACTGCAGCAAAAGCTGATTATTAATGGAAGTGCTTACAGAACCTGTATGTTCTTCCCGGGTACCATGGGGCTGTAACTGGCATCCTGAAGGAAAATGGTGAAAGTCAGAGGCACATCTGCATCTCTGAATTTAAGCACATCTGGCTTATTGTGGTAGGCCCTTTTTGGCAAGAAATAGAACATCAAATTGCCAGACCACAGAGAAAAATATGTGATCTACAGAAGAAACCCGAGCAAGCCATGGATGCCAGGCTGCAGAGGAATGTCAGTTTGCAGGGATGTGCTGCAAGGTCTTCTCCCAGGGAAACAGAGCTGTTCTGACTGCACTGGGTACCAGTTCAGCAAAGGATGAAGCTGTGAACAAGTGTGGGCTCTGTGAAAGCCCAAAGGGGTCTCTTTTTCTGCCCCCACCAGCTCACTGACACTGGAAGGCCACCAAGACTGGGGACGGAGTGCAAAAGGACATCAGAGCACCCAAAACCATGTCAACTACAAACCAAGGAGCAGGGTTCTTGCACCCCTGTTCAACATATTGGACTTTTTACACAGTTTTGTACCTATTTGCCTCCACACTGCTCTGGAGCAGAGAAGCCCCTGTGAAAGATCCAGCCTCCTGCCCACAGCAGAACTGCAGCTCCAAGGGCACTTCAGGACCCAGGCCCTTGGCCAACCCCAGCAATGTCAGACTTGGCTCTCATGACAATTTCTTGTTAAACACAGAAAAATATCCCAGCTCAGCCACAGCCATGAGCAAGACACTTTGTAGGCCAGCACACTGCCAGCAACCATCATTTCTTTCCTTGCTATTTTTTTTTCTTTAATAAAACATCCACGTGTTCTGCCATCACAAGGGATGATGATTCAGGCTGACCTGTATTAGAAACTGAGCCTCACACACAGCACTGATTTAAAGTTGCTTTGCTTGAACTAGAGAACACTGAATCATGACAACGATGTCAAAAGATGCAGAATCCACCACATTCACAGATGAGCAATGTCAGCGATTAATTACTCTCTTGGTTAATCCAGTGTTGATGACAAGAGGCAGCAGGCAAGGAACATACTAAGCAAAGGGATGCAAAGCCTGTGATTATGCTTAGGTCACCTCTTAAGAGACAGTCTGCTTTCAGACAGCTCACTACACATCCTCTTGTCTGAGCAGCTCAGTATACACAATGCCCTTTCCCTTATTTTTTGGTTAAAAACCATCAAAGCCAGGAAAGAAAAAAAGGGGGAAAAAGAAAAAAGAAAATCCACCTTAAGGCATAAGCACAGCTCTGCCATTTGGAGGAGATGGACAGTTATAGAATCACAGACCAGTTTGGGTTGGAAGGGATTTTAAAGCTCAGCTCATTCCAACCCCCCTGCACTGAGCATCTTCAACTGGAGCAGGTTGCTCAGAGCCCCGTCCAGCCTGACTGGAAATGTTTCTAGCAATGAGGCATCCACCACTTCTCTAGGAGACCTGTACCACTGCCTCGCCACCCTCACAGTAAAAAACTTCTTCCTTATACCTACTCTGAATCTCCCATCCTTTAGTTTAAAATGATCACCTCTTGTCCTATTGCAACAGGCCCTGATAAAAACTCTGTCCTCACCTTTCCTTGAATCCTGAAAGGCTGCAATAAGGTCTCCCCAAAGCCTTCTCTTCCCCAGGCTGAACACCCCCAGTTCTCCCAGCCTGGCTCCAGAGCAGAGGGTCTGCAGCTGCTGGAATATCTCCTTGGTCTTGTCTGGACTTGTTCCAACAGCTCCCCATCCATCTGATGTTGGGGACCCCAGAGCTGGAGGCAGCTCTGCAGGGGGGTCTCACCTGAGGGTGCAGAGGGGCAGAATCTCCCCCTCCCCACTGCCCACACTGGGGGATCGGCCCAGGGTACGGGGGGTTTCTGGGCTGGGTCATGTCCAGCCTCTCCCCCACCAGCACCCCGAAGTCCTTCTCCCCAGGGCTGCTCCATCTGTTCATCCCCAGCCTGGATTGATACCAGGGGTTGCCCTGACCCAGGTGCTGCACCTTTAGCTTGGTCTTGGTGAACCTCATGAGGTTCCTATGGCCCACCTCTCATGTTTGTCCAGGTCCCTCTGGATGACCTCCTGTCCCTCAGGAGTGTCACCTGCACCCTCAGCTTGGTGCTGTGATTGATTTGCTGAGGCTGCAGTCAATCCCACTGTCTGTGTCATGGATGAAGACATTAAGCAGCACTGGTCCCAGTAAAAATGCCTGAGGGACACCACTCATTCCTCATCGTCACCCAAGCTTTGAGACATGGATCACTCCTGGTTGGATGTGATCATCCAAACCATTCCTTATCGACCCATCAAATCTTTTGCCAATTCAGAGAGAAAATGCTGGGAAGAAACATTAGATATAGACAAAGAAAAAAAAGGCACCCCTTAGGAGGTTTTTGGAATCTGCAGGCAACCATGCAGTGACACTCCCAAAAGAGCATGACCCTCTCCATCCTTCCTTCTGAAATTCCACAGAGCTATGGAGTGCCCCCAAGTGCCCTCCAGCAAACCCCAGACCCCTTTATAGTGCCTCAGGCAGTACCAGGTCACAAAGGAGCTTGGCCATGCTTTGGGCCTCTGCAGAAGGGAAATATTCATAAAGGAAAACACAGTATCCCAGCAAAGTGCACTGTGTTCCAGAAGGAAAATACTGCAAATAATTCAGTGTGTTTGGTCAGAAGGAAAATCCCTTCCTGACCCAAAGGATCCAGTGGTTTAACCTGGGCACAAAGCAAGACCGTAGCACCAGGAAGCTGATAACTTGCTTTTCCTGCTGTTCCTCCTTTCCCGGGAGTGGTGTTTGTCACTAAACGTGAGACACTGAATGCTAGGACTGACCATAACATACCCAGAAAGGCTCTGGGACAGCTACCTGCTCTGGAATCACTGTCTGAATGGCTGCAGCAGGTTGGCCAGGCTGCATATCCAGGTGTGTCCCTGTCCCACCCTCCTTTCCTTACCTTTCACTATCCACACGGTGTTTGGGCTGCGGTTTCCCTTTGTCCTTCTGTGGTGCCGAGTCTTCCAAAAAACTGTGGTCCAGGCTGTCCTCAGGAACAAAGTCCTCCACGCTCTGTACCTTGGCAGGGGCTGCAGGGTCGGGGGGAGGAGTGGCAGCAGCAGGATCTGCATTAGTGACAGGAGTTGTAAAACATGGGGGTCACCACAAGCAAGACAGAAATAGGCTTTTTGCAGACCTGTGCTGCTCAGAGTGGCAGCAACCACGAGGCAGAGGGAGATTATGAACAGGATATAAATCAGCCCAGAGTCTGGCATGAGGGCACTCACAGATCACACAAGGCTGCTGTGGTTTAGAACTGAAAACCTCTCTGGCACAGGCTGGCTCTGCTCTCCAGGGAGGGCTGCAACTGTACCACAGGTTTTATACCTGTGCTATGAGCACTGCTCCTGTGGGGTGTCCCCTCACTATTCTCTTACCTTTTCCAGACTGTTTGGTTCACTCCTATCCTCTTGCTTTCTTCAGCTGTAACTATCCAAGGCAGAACTGCTCACACTGTGCTTATAGATGTCCTGTGTAAACAAATGCTCAAGAGCTACCTCAAGAAGAGATTTACTTTAATACAGTTTATTTGTAGAGACACCTTTACCCATCTTAAAGGTATGGGCACTTCATTAAACTCATTAAATTAGCATAACTGAGAAGCCTGAAGTGATAACCCTTTTTGGAATCTGCAGTATTCAAACTTTTTCCTATGCCCACACTGCACTTCACATCTAGTCTCTTTTCTTTTGAGTGAACAAGATTTGTGTCTTTTTTTTTTTTTTCCTGCCTTTTGCTCTCCTAGCACAGCTCTCAGATCACTTTTGCATACAAACACTATCGCTAATGCCATAGAATACCGTTGGTGTAAGCTAAACCCCAGCCAAAAGAATTAGTTCTCTGAGACTTCAAGGAAAAGCTTAAATAGTAACTCCCAGAAAAATCCAAGGATTACTTGGTGACAGTGATTTTTCAGCTGCTTTCCAGTGAACTAGTCCCTGGATATGTTCCAGTGGAGGTGCAAACCCTGGGCACACTACAGAAACCTCACAACACTGACACATCAGCTCTTCCTGGCTGCCTTTTGCAACCCTCCCTAAGCATCCCGAGATACCAGGGCTGCAGGTTGCAAGCCCAGAACAGCTCTCAAGCTAAGTGAGAGTTAAAATAAGAGAAGAAAAAGAAAAATCCCAAACCCAAACACTGTAACACTGGTAGTAGACCACTTGTCTCTTTTTTCTACAGATCAGTATGACAAAGGTTTTTTTATTGACAAGGAATTTCTAACATCTGCTCCTCTTCAGTCTTTGTGGTTTTTTTGTTTTTTTTTTTTTTCTGGGTAGGAAGAGTCATAAACAAACCAAAATGGGTGCACTGTGTCATATCTGGGAAGAGGTTCATGATGCAGAACACTGTGTGCAGATCTAAACCAGGACCATTTCAACATCTGAAATTGCGACCGGTGTTCCCAGCACCTCCCCCTTTCTCTCTGTGGGTGCCTTGGCAGCACTGTGAGCTCGAGGGATTGACAGTGTGAGAGGGAAGGTATTTCCGAACGGTGACTCAAACCGTGTCAGGATTTTTAGGCAGTGCCAGCTCTGCAGCTCCACTCAGCTTTGCAAACAAAGTGAATGTGACAGGCAAATTAAGGTCCAGATCAGTAAAATTACATGCAACAAACCCTCGATGCCTCTGCCCCATCACTCTGTCCAGTAGAGTTGAGACTGAGGGCTAAGCTGCTCCACTCTGCACCAGTGCTGAGGCAGGAGCTGAGCCCAACTCCCTCCTCCCAGAGCAGCTCTGAAGGAGCGTTATTTCCCTGGAGGGATCTGCTGTGGAGACTGGACCTACGTGATCATTTCTGGCTGAATAACCTTTAAACTCAGCACTCTGCTGCTCTCTGCTACGCACAGGACCCTCCGAGCTGACACACTTGTGCGAGGACCGCGCTTCAAATAGCTTCTCTAACCATTTTTCTTGCTATTCAAGAGGTGTTTGTCCTCCTGGTAAGAACCTGACAGTTAATTTATTTAATAGTGTCTCCTGTGTGTTCAGGACCTTCCTCCTCAAGCATGCCACAGCCACCACCCAGCTGGCTGGGCACAGTCCCCATCCAAGCCCAGCACAGAGACAAACCAAAACACTGATCAGGAGGAAAATAGAGAGTGACAGCCCTGCTGCACACACGCTGGGCCTTCACACACTTGCCTGTTCAGCCTCTCACAGGGAAATAATGAAAATAAACCAGAATAACAGAATGTTCTGAGTTGCAAGGGACCCACAAGGATCATCGAGTCCAACTCTTAAGTGAATCCATAGGGGGATGAACCCACGGCCTGTGGGTTCACCAACTCTGACAAGATGTGTGAAACATCCCCTGCCCCAGCCCAGAGACAGCGGAAGGCCCACAGGTGACATCCTGCCTGGACCTGCAGCAGCACCAGCACCTACCTGGCTGGGGAGGAGAGGGCTCTGAGGCGGGGGCCGTCCCAAACAGCCGTGCAATAATGCCGCGCTTGGGCGGGGGGGCCGCGGCCGGGGGTGTCGGCGCAGGCACGTGGGGCTGTGGGGCCTCGGGCGCAGGCACTGGTGAAAAGGATGGTGGGGGGTCAGGAGAGATGGTGGAGCTCGCAGCAAGCGCCGGCTGCGGGGTGCCAGGGCTAGAGCTGCCCGTCGACGTGGAGCTCGGAGGAACGATGGGCGACTGGGAGCCAGAGGAAGGGCTCTGCCCGTTTGTTGCTAGTGGTGATGTGTGCCCTTGACTGCGGGCTTCCATCATTTCAAGAAACCTGTAGGGAAGACAAATTACAAATATAAGGAATTGAGAATCATATAACCACACACGGGTTTGTGTTGGGAGGTACCTTGAAAGCTCATCTTGTTCCACCTCCCTGCCATGGGCAGGGACACCTTCCACCAGCCCAGGTTGCTCCAAGCCCCGACCAACCTGGCCTTGGACATTTCCAGGGATGGAGCAGCCACAGCTTCCCTGGGCAACCTGTGCCAGGGCCTCCCCACCCTCACAGGGAAGAATTCTTTCCCAGTATCCCATCTAGCCCTGCCCTCTGGCAGTTTAAAACCATTACCCCTTGTTCTGGCACTACTTCCCCATATAAAAAGTCCCTCTCCTTCTTTTTATAAGCCCTTTATATTTGTCTGTGTGCTGAGCTGGGAGGGTAGGGGTCTCCTTCCATCTGGGCTGGCGGGGTATGGATCTGCTTCCAGTGATGCTGTGACTCCCCAGGCCACAGTAAATGTGGTTTACCCACATGAGTTAAACTCACCCAAGGTGCACTGAGGTGTGGAGAATCCCAACCTGCTCTGCACTGCAGGATGAAACTTGTATTTTCAACACTACTGGGAACTCCCTGGATAGACAGACTATAATAACATGCCAGGGTTACAAATGCAACCTTTAAGTCAGTTGTTGGACATATGTCTCCAAGGGACTATGTGCTATAGGAATGGCACATTTTTAGATTCTGCAGAAGGGATCAGTGTTCAAGAAAACTCAACTGCTATAATAACCTCTTTATCAGCCACGAACGGATTTGAGAAGAGAATCCTTGAACATCAAAAGAAAAGAGCTGTCCTGAGGGCTCAGCGAGAACTGAGTGCCATCACCCTTCTCTCAGTGTTCGGATACACAGGCAGGCTCTCCCCCTGCACACACTCCCCTCCGTGTGGGAGGCAGTGGAGCCAAGCAGCAGGAGCTCTGCAGCAGGCTGTGGTCCTGGCTGGGTTCCTGCCTGGAAGAGCATTAAAGCCTGTACTGCTAGAGAGGCTGAAAAGCTCTTTCTTTTTCCAAAAGGAGCCCAAGCCTAACCCAAGCCTCTCTCTGCATCCTGCAGGGTCAGCAGCCTGTTCACAAGCTGTGAGCAGAGAAACACGGACAGAGAGACAGGTTCTTGCCATGAAATGGTCTCAAGATCAGATCTGCTACACGCTGCACAGCTGAGAGATACAGAGAGGACACCCAAAGTGAAGCATCCTGTACAAAATCCAGCACGTCACGGTCTCGCCTCTCATTTCATTAAGCCTAATGAATTCGAGCACAGAGGCTCTGGGTTCAGCTGGTTCTGCAAGACAGACTTGATTGTGCTTCGGGCAATGAGAATGTCAAAGTAAAGCTCCTCTCCCACACAGAGCATGACCTCGTCCTTCAGGGACCAGAGCCAGCCCAAACCTTCCCTGGACTGACTGCTGAGCAGAATGCAAACAGCAGGGGCTAAGAGACTCTAAACCTCCTTGAGATATAATTTCCTATTTTAAGGAGTAACCTGATATACTTTTAAGGAAGAAACTAATATACTTTGTGACCAGCAGTGCCTGGAGCCCTAGGGAACAACACCCCTAGGAAGCTGTTACTTGAATTGGAAAACCAGTAGTCTTTCCTAACTAAAGAACTGGCTGAAGTGGAGATCAAGGGCAGCACTAAAAAGTAGAATTACTGACAAGAGAAATCCTTGGCAGAGTTCCTCAAGGACTGGGTTTGAGATATATTTCAGCATTTCAATGGAGCAACACAGAGACCAGAGAAATGTTCTTGAGGTGCAAGTTGGGAGGCAACATCAGCAGAGAAGAGAATAGAGACAAGATACAGATAGAACTGGATGATCCCAAGTAACAGAAATAGGAAGAAATTCGGCAGTACAAAGGAAATCTTTATCTACTCAAAGGCGAGGAAGCAAGTGTTCTTGCTCCCAGTTCACCAGATGAGAATGGCTGGAAAAGACTCATCCCACTCGTTTCAGAAGACTGGACTAAAGACTGCAATTGCAGAGATGCAGGAGCCTGGCTCTCACACTCTGTCCACTGCCTGTCCCATGAGACCACAGAATCACAGAACCGTGGAATATCCAGAGCTGATCCAGGACCACAGGGAACATCGAGTTCAACTCCTGGCTCTGCACAGCAGACCCCAACAATCCCACCATGTTGCCTGAGTGTTGTCCAAATGCCCCTTGAGCTCTGGCAGCCTTGGGGCCGTGACCACTGCCCTGGGGAGCCTGTTCAGTGCCCCACTACCCTCTGAGAGAAGAACTTTTTCCTAATATCCAACCTAAACCTCCCCTGCCACAGCTCCAGCCATTCCCTTGATCCTGTCACTGGTCACGGACAGCAGAGACTGGAGCTGCCCCTCCACTGCCCCTCATGAGGAAGCTGCAGACTGCCAAGGCACCTAAATCAGAACAGTGCTGTGGTGGCCTCACTGATGCTTCCACCAGGACCAGGGACAAGGCTTTCGTGTGCATTTCACCCAGTACACTGGCTAGACCAAAATGAGGTCTTGGTAGAGCTGAGCTCAGAGCATGTGACACAGGATCCATTCCCCATCCTCCCTCTCTGTGGATGAGTAGCTGTGGTGAGCTGTGTGACAACACATTCCACTGAAAATGATGCATGGATTTGTCATGCACCAAAGAGAAAACATAAAGGAGTTTAACTCCTGCACTGAGCTCTTTGGAGACTGCATCAGATTTGTTTGGAAGGTGCACAATACCTCACACACGCTGCAAGAACATAATAGTGTGTACTCAATACATCTGTGTCACTGCACTACTGGGCTGAGCCATCGCACGTCGCTCCTCTCCTGAGGAGAGGGGGCCATACGTGGTTCAGCCTCCCTCCAGGCAGGGTACGCATGGCATCTGTGGGGAGGGAAAGGCAAACCGAGGGTCCCTGCAATTCAGCCCTCATCTAACAAAGCAAAGGCTCTTTATCCACAGACCGTGTGACTTGCCACGGCCTGAAAAGCCGTTCATGAGCTTTGCCTGCACGGGATGTGCAGCTCTTCAGCTCCACGCCACACGTGCTGAGTGCTGAATTCTGCCACCTCTCCCCTCCCAGCTTTGATCCAGGGCTCCTGGCAAGTCAAAGGCAGGATGGCTGAATAGCTCTGCTTTGTGGTACCTACTCCTCCTCCTCCCCAGCCCTGCTCAGGGTTAAAGATTCCTGCCTTTCAGCTGTGAGGAGAGATTAATCCCAGCTGCTCTACATGCACCCCCGTTCCTGTTTATAGCAACAGCAATCCTGGATGGAAGCCTGCAAGCCTGGTCACTGCTGCACCCACAGCCAAGGTACTGCTGCCAGCACCACTCGCTCTCCTGGCTGAGCTGGGCTCCCTGGCTGGCTGTGTGAGCACCTAAATCACCAACACTGCATGAAGCCAGAACAAACAACCTCTGAGTCTCACGTCGCTAGGTCCCACCACCATGGCAACTGGGTGACTCCAGGAGGATAAGATGATTTTACCCTGAAGACTCAGGAACAAGGAGATATAAAGAATATACATGGTCACACTAGGATACAGAATACAAAGATCAGAGTACCTAAAGTTGGACTCAACAAAGCATAGGACACTCTTAACAATACCAGGGTATTTGAAGATTTACTGTACTTGGTTCTACCAAAGCTGCCGATTTTGGAAACAACCTGCTTTGTTCTGGGAAAGTAGCCAGCTCCAGAGACTACCACCTGTTTCTCCTGCAGAAACACATGAATTTTAAGAACTGGAGGGAAAAAACCCACTACATAACCAAAGCATAAAGAATGTCATCCTTCCCTCCAGCTCAGCCAGCCTGGAGAGTAACACACATGCAGGCTTGGTCTGCACCTGTGCTCTTACACCTTGCTCTCCTACAGTGTGTGAAGGACATAACAGGAGACAGCAAGTTCTTTTAGCAGGAAGATACAGATGGTTATTTGGGGACATCACAACACAGGCTCTTGCCCCAGCACAACGCTGAGGAGAACTGTGGCACGTGTGCTTCGTGTCACCTCCCTCAGCTCCAACCAGACACGTGGCCCAGGCCTTGTGCCGTGACACCGGGGAAATCAGGGTGGTCTGACACTCGTTCTACATGGGCTGCATAAAACAACTCTCCTAAGCTTTTATATTCAGATCTTCTTCTGTGAGGGAGGTGGGTGGAAAACCAGCACACATGAAATGCTGCCAGCAAGCTTGCAGTAATTTCCAGGGTGGAGGTGTCTGAGCATCCTCCACACTTTGAAAATACTACATAATGCATGAATGCTTTCTCTGGCTTTATACACACTCCTCAGAGGCAAAAGTGTGGCTGTTTTGGGAACGCACCGGGCCAAACCTGTCATGTGTCTGTTTTTTCTCAGATTTTATACAATCTGTCCACTTCCTTGTTCTATCCATCAGTCCTTTGCAGAGGGACTCACTCAAAACCCTACTGTGGAACAAGCAGCTTTGTGCCCACACTGGATGCAGTGGACCAGGTCCCAACAAAGCACAAGGTAAACTCAAACTTGAGTATCCTTGTTCTGTTCAGATACAGAGATAGCAAACGTGCCACACATGTCCAGGTGTATCACCTGTCCTCACCCACATGGGTTCCTTGTTTGCCTTTTAATCCCTCCATTTCAGACAAGACCAAAACATCCTCAAACCCCTGAATAATTCACTGGTGGTTGGACCTGCTCACAAGCAGAGACTTCTATGCAATTTTAAAGATGAACATGTTATGTGGGAACAAAAATTCATCAGGGCCTGAGGTTACTGTTGCTCTGCTCCCAAGGCAAACACAAAAACACAAAAGGACTTGTTAGCCTCACAATTTCCTGAAATTGTCCATGTTTGTGTTCATTTCCTATTCAAGACAGGAGCAGCCTAAAGCTTTTTGGCTCCTGGTTCTAACGTGCTGTGATCCATTTTTCAAGTGTATTTCATGTGGCAAGAAAGGCTTTGGGTTATTTTATTAATTGTAAAAATGAAGATTAATCAGCTGTGTGACATCAATTTAACTGGGGTTAGTGAAGGTTAGATTTCCACGTGGCTGTTTCAAGCTCATTAAACGTAGTGCACCTGATCCCCTCCATCAGCCCAGGTCCCTGAATATGGAATCAGTGGCCAAGCAGGGTTTAATCCTGCTGTTGTCCTGTTTTCCACCTGACAAAATGAATGCAGCAGGGTAACCCCCTGTTCCATAACATACAGTCCCCCACTTCTTTAGCAAGGCTGATGACGACAGGTTTAGATGCCCTTAATTCTTAATGCAGCATCCCCCAAAAGTATGACCTAGTTAGAGCGCCATTCCAGTTCAGGTTGGCTCCTGACCTGTCTGATGGCCACAGGCATTCACAGCAAGAGCAGAGGATAAAGGTGGGGCATGGGGAAGAGAAAGCAGGAGTGGGTTTACTTTCCCAACCGGCAGCCAGTGTCATTCTGGACCAACCAAGGATACCAGAGAACAGATCCAGCAGCAGCTCCTCCTGCCACAGTGCTGGTGTTAGTCAGCACCATGGCCTTCCCAAAATTATGAGCTGTGCTCAGCGTGGATAAACCAGGCAAATAAAACCCCAACCCCTCAATCAATGACTCTGCAGTGACTAAAGCTGTCGCTGCAGGGAGTATGTGTCCCCAAAGCAGGGCAGCCCAAATGCCTTTCTGCAGTCTGGCATCCAGAGGCTGAGAGAAGACAGCCTCGAGTTGTGCCAGGGGAAGGTTTAGTTTGGATATTGGGGAAAATTTCTTCCCCAAAAGGGCTGTCCAGCCCTGGCACCATTCTGTGAGGGAACAGGCACACTGAGCATAAACAAGTACTCCTTGTGACAGAAGATAAGCTGGCTACAATTAAAAATGCAGAAATTGAGCAAATTAGGTACAAATTCTGAGCAGCATAAGGAAAGTAATTGCTCTTTCTTTAATAAGAATTCAAAAACTCAAAAAAGGCTGAAATGTGTTTTTAGCAGCACTGAAGATGTAAAATCTGAGAAAGCACAGAGAAAGTACCAGAGCCAGAGGTGTGGCAGGCAGAGAGGAGCCTAAGCACAGGGAAGGAGCTGGAAGCATCTGACTGTGTCTCCCACAGGCAGTGGCTGCCCGGGATGGCTTATGTAAGCTGGATGAGGCAGCGTCGTGTGCCACCTCGTGTTGTCTCTGGGATCCACATTTTGGAGAAAGGGATGTTTTGTCCTCAGGTCCCCTGCTGCAGCAGGAGGAAGGGCTCTTGTTCTCTTTCTATTCTCCCAGAGCCAAATTTAGAATCGGTCATTGTGACAGAGCAGCTACCAGACGTGCACAGGGTGAATGGAATAACCAAGATGTCCTAGCGCTGTCACCTCGCCTTGCTCCATGGCCTGATTTTATGGCAGGAGAGCAGGAATGGCCTCAGAGGAAGTGCTGCAGCAGCCACACCATGGCCTGTGGCCCCAAATGCCTATGGTCACCTCCCCCTGCTGTGCAATTTGGGTGACTCACAGCAGAACTCCCAGTGCCATCCAAACTGAAGCAACAAACACAAGGGCCTTGTGATAGGAGGTTGTAAGCCAGGTGGGGGCCAGTTTCCTCTACCAAGTAACAAGCAATAAAGAGGAACGTGCAAAGGATGCCTCAAATTGTACCAGGGAAGGTTTAGGTTAGACATTTGGGAAAATTTCTTCATGGAAAGGGTGGCCAGGCATTGGAACAGGCTGCCCAGGGCAGTGGCGGAATCACTGTCCATGGAAATGTTCAAAAAACATGTGGATGTGGAACTTGGGGACATGGTTTAATAGTGGCCCTGGCAGTGTTTGCTTAACACAGTTGGACTTCATGATCTTAGAGGGCTTTTCCAACACTAATGACTCTATGATCTGCCAAGGGTCACCAAGTCACACCACACCAAGGCACGTGTGGCTCACAATGGGGTCAGTGGCAGCAGGTGCTCACTCTGACATCCACTGAAGTAGCATATTAAACATGATGATCCCAAAATTATGGGCATCTGACAAGCATGGATGCAAGCACCTTCCCAACCCCTAATAATGAGCACTGCAGATCTGCATCACCACTGCAAGTTCTGATTCCCACCGTGTACTGTGGTGTTCACGGACACTTTGTTCCCTAACCCAAACTATTTACTAAGGTTGAAAATTTACACAAACCTGGGTTCTCTGCCATGGGAGTGCATTTCTTTAAACTGGGCCTTTGGCTATAAAACTTGAGCCCGAAGAGCTCCTGCAGGGATAAAAACTGAGTGTAGGAAGAGTTCAGCCCCTTTCAACTCTGGGGCTGAAGTAACCCCTGTGCAGCTTATCTGTCCCACAAAGGAGCCACTCCAACAGACTTTCTGTTTCTACCCAGGGTGCAGAGAAGACTTAAAAACCTTAAAATAGCACTCTTAGTCAGTGTGATCAAAGTAGTCAGACAAGACACTGCCTGGTCTTTTCTTCTGGGATCAGTGGCTTAAGCCAGGAAGCACCCAGGGGTATTTTAAAGCCCTTTCTATAAAGAAGTGTTATTTTCTGAAAGCAAAGGTCTCAGTGCAGATATAAACGTGCAGAAGCTGAAGTGAAGCAGGATCTGGTCAGCTGCATAAAAATGTCACTTTATTTGCTAAATCCAGAATCCTAGAAAAATCTTGCTTTTAATATTTTAGCAACTCCTCTTTTGTCAGGCACCATGGCTGTGGTATTTCTGAGGCCATGCTAAGCCAATTCTGCAGCCTGACAGTGTCATCATCCCCCCAGCAGCTGAACAGTGTGGTCACACTGGATGGGATGATCCAGTCTAGACAGTACCATACTGCTGCTGCTGCCTTGAGATCTGCTGTTTGACAGATGCTTCTCAGAGCCAGCCCAGTGCAGACTAACCCAGAGGTAGATATGGCATAAGATAGTTTTCATAGAGTCACAGAATCCCAGACTGGTTTGTGCTGGAAGGGACCTTAATGTTTATCTCACTTCAAACCCTGCCATGGGCAGAGACACCTTCCACTAGACCAGGTTGCTCCAAGCCCTGTCAAACCTGTTTTCTCCTGGATTGGTGAGCTTCAAGTGACACACGTGGAAGTCCAGCAAGTTCTAAAACTGATGGAAGGGTGAGAGGTGACGAAGCAGGAAGATCTTGTGCTGTGAGTTTAAAACAGCTCTGCCAACTCCTAATTCTTCTAAGTATCTTCCCACTACTGAAGCAATACAAACAAAAGTATGGAAAACCATCTGACAGCACAGCCCACACAGCCCAGGTCCTTGGAGCAGGGACATCAAGAGAAATGCTGAAGGCATGAGGAGACTAACTGGTCTCTGAGGAGTGAGGTGAACCCTCTGAAAACAGCACTGCTTTGTGCCCATTGGGGCATTTCAGTGCCCTCAAAGGAAACCAAACTGAACAAGGTTACAGAACTCGAAACTTGGGCTGAAAAATGCTTGTCAAAATGGCTGTGCATGAATATTTCATAATCATCGATTCCAACTCCCGAATAAAACTGCTGTAAATAATCTTTTTTCAATACATTCTGAGGCTGACTTTTCTAGTTTTCACAACGCTGCAATAAAGGCCTTGTGATGGGAACTCATGGAACACGGATTCCTGTTCGCTGTGCAGATGTACTGGCTTTGTGGGGCTAAATTTGGCAAACACTGTTCCAGGCAGCAAGCACACAGCCAGGGCAAAGAGCAAACACAGGGAAGAGGAACCAGCCACTTTTTCAAACTAGAAATGCACCCAGGAGTTTAGAAGTGCTCAAATGAACAAAAGACAGCAATGTTGTTGCTATTACATTCTGCCTACCACAAAACACACAGTACACAGGAATACAACAGTCAGAAGGAGAGGAACCAGTTTGTGTACTGAGCCACTGAGAGCTGGAAGATATCCCCTTCCAGCAATTCCTCTACAATCCCCTCAGCATGTGGCTGCTCCAGGTGTGCTGCTCAGTCGCACCTCCCCTGCCCTCCAATGACCACGTGCCTGTAGGAAGCAGACCCTTTCACAGGGATCCCCAAGTGCATGCTTTATTTCAGGTGATGCCACTTAAAAGTGACATTTTATCCAAAGAATCCCTGAATGTCACACACTAAACCCTTCAACCTGGCCACATGCTGGGGCTGCCCAACACTCACGTGACACCCAAACAGTTAGAAAAGACAGCTCAGTGACATACAGTTCGTAGTTTTGGTCTTCAGTCTCTTGCTGCACTGACAGCTCCTCCAGAGTTGCATCAATATCCAGCTGATTTGTTTCCAGCTGCCGCAGCAACGTCTCCCTCTGAGGAAAGGAAAACAAGGCAGGTCTGAGCAGGGAAGGCTCATTGTAACATATCTCTGAGCAGTGAGATCCTGTGTCACCACTCTACCACAGCAACATGTTGAACAGGAGCACTGGCCCTGCTCACAGTGTCAGCTGAAATACAGAGCACAGAGGGAAGCAGAAGCAAAAGTAGATCCAGAAAGTTTATGTATAAGAAGTGCCTTGTTCTGTGAGCTGTTCTCAGTCATAAATCAATGATGTGTGATTTCAGACACCACATCACCAGTTACATTTGGACAAAAGATCAGTTGTGCAACCCATTCACTTGGGTCTTTGATTTTCCCTGTCTTAAAACAGCTCCTCTGTGAGCAGGACCCAGCTGATGCAAAATCTCCCCGTAATTTTCTTTTTGCTGTCATGGTAGATGAGCGAGCACAACTGTCAACCAAGTGACACTTCTGAAGTCTGTGCCCCTCTGCCTCCAGTTGCTGTCCCACAGATGGGACACAGACATCCCAGTCCATTTCAAATGGCAGTAAAGTGCATTGGCTTCACTAATGCAACCCAGGGCAGACCCACTCAGTCCTTCACTTCCCACATTTCCAACAGAACTCAAGCAAAAACCTCAGCTGAGGGGAAATGCTGGCTTAACAGACTCCCTCCTCCTGACAGCCCGGATGGCAGCGAGAAGAGATCAATAACTACAGGCATTAGGCTGAGCCAGCTCCAAGGGCTGTGCCACAGCCCTGAGCACAGGGCTGACACAGCATCTATTCCTGCAGGAACATCATTGTAGGTCCCCTGGACAAGACTAGAGCTGTATGTGATACAAATCCTGCCCCAGAGCCCCGTGCTCTCTGCTCAGGCACAGCTGGCTGGCACACAGCTGGGCACTGGCACCCTGTTTGCCTCCTGCAGGGGCTCTGAGCACGGGCCGTGCTGACCAGCTCACACCCCGAATTCGGGAGTCAAAAGCCGCAATGTTCAGTGTCTGAAAGCATCAGTCCACCCCCACCACTGCCTAGGAGCACTGTGTGGCCCAGGAGCAGGGACAGCTTGTGCTGAGCTCGGCCGGTGACTCACGGCACTGTACCGTCCCTGTCACAGCAGGCCGTGCTGGGAGGAGATGGAAGAGAAACCACAGGCTTCCTCCAAACTGCCAAGCTTTTTGCTTTTATATCTGCCTTATCCTCCAAGAACACTGAAGGTTTCCACTCTGACAAATATTTTTGAAGGTTAGCATCAATAGCCATGGCGAATTTTTAATTCCCTGTTTGACAACACATAAGCTCACTGCAGGAAAATCCCACCAGACTAAAAGGTCAAAAGGAAATCTACCGCATAATTCCCAGAATAAAATCCCTCTGTGAAGACAAACATTTGCATGAAGCAACGGTGTTCAGTCCCTATGTGCACATGCTGCTGGCATTATGGTTTCACAGACGTGACAACTCTGAAGCCATCGAGACACTGTACAGATTTCAAGAGCAAATAACTCATCTGGCTCATACAAACCACACCACGCTGCTGTGACCCAGGGCACAGTCGGGGCACAGCCTGAGCCCTCCATGGAGCAGGCTGATTTATATCAAATTCTACCATGACTTGTATCAGTAGACAAGGTTCAAGTAATTTGATTTTGTATTATAAGACCAGGTGATTCATCACAGCTGATAACCCTTAAACACAGTAATTTACTGGAAGACACAGCCTTTCTTGAAATTTAAGAGCTTCTGTGATCATTTAATCTAATTTACTGCTTCCAAAGTATATAGATTCTTCATGTTTACCTTTGCCATTGTGTTAAGAGCTTGAAGCAATTCCTGTTTTCTTTGTTAGGCAATTTTTATTCATCAAATTCAAAAGCTTTCTTCAGATGGAAACTTGACTTCAATTAACATGTATGAAAAGAATTATGAAGTCATTACCTAATGTTGATTCCCTTTATCGTGGTTTACAGACAAGAAAGATTCAGCAAAATATGCTATACATATTTAAATGTGCTACACTAATCAGAATGAGTAATAAAAGACTTTAGAATTAAAATTCTAGATTTTACAACTCAAGATTCAAGAAAATCCAGATTTCAGATGTAGTAGATGTCATCCTCCTATGTTATTCATGCAGTATGAGCAAAAATGAGGCAAAAAAGGGAAAGTCTGCTTCTTCTTTGTCCCTGGTTTCCTAAGATGGGTGAAATAAATGCTGACCTAATTAGCTGAGCAAACAGAGACAGAAGGGCTACTGCTCTCCAGGACTTACCTTAGGCTCTTTGATAATGACTTTTATTAAACAAGTGGTTTTCCTTGCCTCACACTTTGGCATTGAGACACACACCACAGTTTTATTTATTTCAATTTTCACAGATCACAGTAAATCAAGAATATAGATTTAATTAAGAGTGAGTTTCAACTAATTTTGTAAAAATTCATCACTATTAGCAGATTTTCAAATACTTCAAAAAATGAATCCTGCTTTACCATGCTGGTATTAAAATATTAAAGAAACAGCTTATTTTTAGCAATAACCCAAAAGAAGGGAATAAATCATATGCTACAGAGCAACACTTTGGCTGAAAGCCACTTTCAAGGGCTTCCTGAGAAAAGGCAATTTCAGCTGTCTGCAGAATCCTGTCTCCTTCCAGCACAGCATCCTGAGACCTGGGTGACCTGATCCCATTTGTGGGCCACCAGCAATACCTACAGCTAAGCTGCATCCTCAGGTTTGCCAACCCTGCCCCTGGAAAGGAACTGGTAAATAATTGAAGAGCCCAGGCTGCCAGAGGGAAGGTGCTCTGTGCTGGGGGTATGGATTTCAGCCCTGCTTTCTCCATGAAAGATGCATGACTGTAAGCTGAGCACAGGGATGTGCCACTGACACCAACCCTGCCGAGGGACAGCCTGGATACAGCTGGACACCTCTGCCCCTGGAGAGCTGCAGGGGATGGGCTGAGGGACACAGAAACCTTCAGGGCTGAGCAAATCCTATATGCATTTTACACCTGGTAGCATCCCTCTGCCTTTGCCCTGCTCCAAAGTACTTGGGAAAAGAGCCCCTTCTGGAGCCTGGTGCTGACAAGGATCTCTGAAGGGATAAGCAGAACCTTTAGGAATTAAGTCCAGCTGTGATGTTCCTACAAATTCAGCATCACACTGCACTGGATGTCAATCAGGCCCAGGCCTGGTCCCTGTGCACTCCAAGGCAAGATTCCCAACGAGTCTCCAGGAGCAGCAAAGTGCCCCGAGCCAGCTACTGTGGAGCAGCAGGAGGCACTGCCCATAAACCTGTGGCACAAATGCACTGGAAAATCCAATCCAGACCATTCTGGCTGAAGTTTGACATTGATAAAGCCCCAGTGCATGGGGGGAAGCAGCCAAAAGCCTCTGACTGCACAGAAGGCAAGGCCGGGGACCTCCTGCACACTGCAGGGAAATGAGCAAGCTACTTCCACAGGGATCCTGTGCTGGGATTTTTATCAGAACGCACACCAGAACACCTGCTTTCAATCCCTGTATGAGCACAGATCTGCAGGAATTAGTCTGGGCACTGCTGTTTTAAAGGCAAAGCCAGGCAGCTCTCCTGGAATGACAGGCACAGGACAACCTCCTCAGGTCCCACCTTCTGTGCCGAGGTGCAAAGAACAGAGCACACATATTGAAAAGTATGGTTTACATGTGCCCATCCAAAACTCCCCTTGCACGTTCTGGGAACTAAATTCTAAGGAGAAGTCTTCTCAGGTTTGTTTCTGCAGTGTTGAATTATTTAATTACATGAAAGCCATACGATGTGGGAGTCTAATTATGTGGCAATTGCACCTTCTGGGCTACTTCCAGTGGCACCCTGAGCTCACTGAGCAGAGGAACAAATGTGGGCTGCTCACCCCATTCCCTCACCTCTCCTAAGCAACCACCACTGGAATCTCCAAACTAAAGGTTATATGAGATTTATTTTTTCTTTACCCTAAAGACCAAGATTTGTTCAAGAAATTATCTAGCTTTGGTGACCTTACCAAAGTGTCCTAATTGCTTTCAGCCTCAGATTAATAGATCATGTTTACTTGTACACAGTACATTTAGATGAAAGGTCCCCTAGGATTCACACCCTAAAGCTGCTTCCAAGCAAACCCAATACTACAATCGCTTCGGAATTTCTTGCTTTGGCCAGGGAAAATCCTGGCATACACAGTCTGTCCACAGTATCACCACGAGCAGCTTTCAGAGACAACTCTGGCAGGAAGGCTGTGCTGATGGCTTTGTCTCTTATCAACATCTATCCGAGAAAAAAAAGGACAGATCTACAAAACCAACAAAAGTAACCTGGGAATTGTTTCTGTGTGATTTCCACCAGACACCCCTTCACCAGTGGAGCTGTTATAAACCCAAGCATCTCACCAGCACCATGCTGGCAGATTTCAATCTTCTCCTCTGAGCAGCAAGTTGGATTTATACCTCAGATTTCTACAACTGCCCCCTAAAAAAATTATTGTCTGCCTTGTTTTACTGGGGTTTAATACTTTCAATTCTCTTATCCTGGTACTTTCTGCTCTGCAGCCTGAGGGCATGGTAACATCTACTAACACATTCCAGTTCCTTCTGAACTAGCATTCCAGTGGAGATTATTTGTACAGAAATACACACAGACACTTCAATTACTGGTGAAAGATAATCAACTGCCTATTTTTTTCCCATCCAACAGAAGACAATGACACAACATCACAGGTGCCCTCAGAAAGCATAAACTATTGATCCCAAAGGACCCCAGTAGGATCACCCCAAAAGTGCCTCTTCTAAAGGTCTGCAGCTGAGAATCCCATCCTTCTCTGCCCATCTGGCCTTTGCCTTTCCCTTCAGCCTTCCCAAGAATCCTCAGTTATGAAGGAAATAAGAGACTGGATCCGTGTGCACAGGATCCAAACAGATCCATTACCATTAGGGCCAAGATTTTCAGCAGGTTCAGTTCATGACCAAATCTCAGCTCATCTGAGTTTTAACTGAACAGAACTGAAATCCAAAGTTTAATAAATGTGTCTATGCAACATTTTTGACTTGGCAACTGCACCACTGGATGCCATTTTCATGTCAGTGTTACCCATTCCCTTGCAGCCTTTCTCCAGAAGTCAGCATTGGGAACTCAGCAGAGACATTCTCTCACAACCACAGGCATGTTTACATCACAGGCACCAATGTTCTGACATAATTTTGCCATACCAACCCTAACAAAACCAAAAATCTACTCAGGATCCTTTAACACCAAAAGAAACCTCAAATACCAAATTTTTGCAATAGAGACAGAGCAAATACAATTTCTCCCACCCACCTAGCACATCAGGGCAGTATCTCTGTCTTACCTGCAGCTGCAAGAAGGGGATGTTGAAGAATTTGTGCAGGTACTTGAGGCCAAAGCTGTTCTTCATGGAAGACTCAGCATAGCGGAAATAGGAGGAGCCAGGGGGCCTGTCCCAAGCAGAGAGAAGAACACTGTACCCAGGAGAGACTGCACACACAGGGGCACTGCCTGAATGACACACCACGAGCAGTCCCACAGGCCAGCCCCCCACCCCCAAATGTAGGCCAGTGGCTCATTCTGCCTGGGACTCGTTAGTTTGTGTATAGCCAAAATTCACGCTTTGTTCCCCCTGAAGGGTGGCAGAAAGTGGCTGTTGGTGTGTCACAGTGTTGTGTGCCTAGCAGGCTAAGAAATACTCTGTCAGGACACTGGGATGTTGGTTTCCTAAACTGGGGATTTACAGCTATACAAGTTTCTCATTTCTCAGTGACCGCTTCGGTTTAAAACCCCGAAGAGACTGACAAAAATCACATATAGAGATGAATCTGTAAAGAAATGATTACAGTATGGACAAAGTCTTAAAACTGACATGATTTCTGTGTGACTGACACAAGCATAAGCAAGTAAGAGATGAGGAAAATGAAAAAATTACCTTAAGGACATGAAAAAGGTACAATCTACTGAATCTTGACCAACAAATAGTATTTTATACTACATTTCAGACCTCTGCATAGGGGAAATTCTTGTCTGGCTGGTGAGGGAAATGTATGACTTGGCTATGCCCAGTAAGTGCTGTGTGGGGAAGCTCAGAGGCAGGGCAAGGAGACAGCTGCACTGGCTGGCTCTCTTGTAGCTGAATTACTCAGAGCAGAGAATAGCTGTGCCACAGGGAGAGGATTCTTTCACATGGGGACTATCCAGCAAAAAGATGACTTCTTGGGAACAGCACTTCAGAAAGGCACAGGCTGCCAGGCCCTCCCTGCTCTCCAGGAACAAAGCAAACAATGTGCCCATCGTGTCAGCAGACGCTGCTGTGGACACGGGGACGCTGCTGTGGATCCAGGCCCCGGGGCAGGGGTTGCACGGGACGTGGATGTGAAACACGGTTACATAAGGGTGATGTCAGCGAGCAGCCGAGCCCTGCTGCTCTGCCAGGTGACACATCTCACCTGTTCAGGTTGTCAATGAGGTCCCGCACGTCGCCAGGCAGGATGACCCGGTGCTCGCCCATGTCCCGGTAATTCCCAAGCACACACACTGGAACGTGGGTCGGTACTTTAGGAAGCTCCCTCAGAATATAGTTAAATGTCCTTCATCAGAGGAGAGAGAGAGAGAGAGAGAGAGAGAAAGGCAGATGAGTGGGAACATCCTTCTTTAAGCAGTTTCATGTACAAATCAGAGAAAAAACCCCAAATAATGTTTTTTTTCCCAGTCTGTAGCTTCTTTGTCCCCTCAGAGAAATACATTAAGTCTCAATATGTTTGGATCATTCTTTATTCAAAAATAACTTGATAAGTTCAATAATCCACTTCCACCAGCAACCTCACATCTCCTACAGTAATGTTTCCCTCAGTCCTGCAAAACCGTGTGGGGTCAGTAGAAGAAAAGTTTTCCCTCCTTTCAACTTCCCTGAGACTCTCTGACCAACACCAAACCTGTACAACATTAGCTTAAATATAAAGCAGGAGCTCTTACCCCCTCCTCTTTCCACTCTGGTTTCCACATCTCCCCCATCCTCCTCAGCAGATGTGCAAAATGAACAGTTCCTTATTTCTGTGCATTAATGCAGCCCGCGGCCTCTAAATAATCCTTACTAATACCAGTCTTCTGGGAATTTCTCACTAGCATTCCCCTTTTCCTTGTGTTCTGGGGAGCAGGGAATTGTAACATGCACCTCATACCTGTGATAGCACTAATTATCAAGCCTCAGCCAGCAGTGTATCAGCAACTGCAGCACACAAACTACCGGGACACTGCTTGTTTGGAACAAGCCCAAGAGAGGAGTTTATTAAAAGCCATGTCACAAGACAAAGCTTTTATTTTTAAGGGATACAAGCTTGCTTCAACTCATTAGGCTTGTTATCAGCTCTCAAATCCAACTGGGAATCTGGAAATCCAGAAGTAATTTGTTTTGCCTAGACAAAGGAGAATCATGAGGTGCCACTGAAGGTCTCTTACCACTGCTTGGTGATGTCAAACATCATCACCACACCATTGCAGTTCTTATAGACATCCAGGAACTCTGCATCCAGAGCCATTTCTGACTCTGCCTGAGGAAATAAAGGCAAAGAAGCAGTAAAGAACTCGATTCAACATAAGGCTTGGACAGAACACACCGGATACAGTGCTGAATAGGCAAATTTCATAAAGGGGCAACCACTGTAAGGACTATCTGTGGATTTCACACCATCATTATTGAAATAAGATACCTGGTGGTTCCCAGCTTCCATTTCCCACAGGAGCAGCATGTGAAGCACCTGACAGTGTCTGACAGCACGCGCTAAAACCCACCCCTGCCCTTCTCCCCTGTGCTCCCAAATCCATATAAGCTACAGGGTGGAGGACAGAAGGCACAACTCACATTTCATCTCTTTGCTGACCCAAATATTGACTGTACTCCTAAAGCTTCTGATGTCCAAAGCCAGGAGGCAGTTTCTCACTGGAGGACTGACAGAATTTATTAGCACCTGATTGTCTTCTCATCATTTGGACTCCGTATGCTGCAAAGTCCAGCCAGTACTGGTCCCAACTCAGTCTCCATAGCTCCTGCTGCAATTTGGTGCCTCCTGAACAATGCTCACTGATTTCCCAGGAGTGGAAAACGCATCCATGTTTGCAAAGGAAGAAGCAGCTGTGGTATTTGTTCTCATAAAGGCTTTTTCCATAGGAGAGTATTTTAAGGAAAATTGTTCTTATCTGACCACACAGCCTGAGCAGCACTGGCACCAGTGAGAGGGTAACAGCCCAGTTCCGAGGTACAGCCAGAGCAGGGCACTGAACAACTTCTTGAGGCCCCACAAGAAGGCCCTGACAAAAGGACTTCCTGCCACTGCCCATGGGCAGAGAAGTGCAAAGCTGCTGAGCAAACACCTCAGCAGTGCAGTCATTTCCAAAGGACAGAATGGAAACCAGCAGGGAAGTTGTGGTGAGGGCAGGGGAAGGGCTGACATGCACAGATCAAAAAGTGCAGAGCATCAGGGGTCCCACTGCCCCTCACCCGCCTGCCAGGCCAACCTTAGAGCAGAAACAAATACAGAACTTGCTTTCCATGGACTAAAAGTGGACAAAAGGCCTCCCCCTCGAGAGGCAGACCTCTGCATCCCATGTGACTTACCTCCTGAGGGTCATTCTCCAGTTTCAAACCATCTCCTCGTTTTTTGCATTTTCCTTAAAGAGAATTACAGAAGAAAAAATAAAGCATTACACTGGGTAGAGAACTGCAGGATGGGTCTGGGCAGGACCACAGCAGTTTGAACACAACCTTAAAGCAGATCCTACTTCTACTGTAAGCCTGGGGAATGAGGAGGGGTAGGATAGGCATGCTTTGTTGAGCTCCCCTGGTCAAGAATCCCAGCTAGTCTATTCAAAGATGCAGTAAGGATATCTGGGGTAGCTTAAACCATGCTCTTCACAGCATAAACCCCCAATGACTGAGTAACACAGGGTTTGGTGCACTCCTGGCCACAAAGGGAAGCTGCTTTGTTGTAGTTTTTGTTGTATCAGTGTTGAGGAAGCAAAAGCTCATAGGGCTGCTCTGACTGAGGGCACAACTGCATGTGCAGCCTTCCTGAGATGCTGTGGTGCTGCTGTGCTGTCACTGACCTGAAGCAAGAGGTCAGGTCATAAGTGTGACCTCAGAGCCCATCAGGTGCTTTGGGTTGCCTCATTACTATGGAGAAAAGGGGTGGCAGGTGACTATGAGAATTTAACAGCCAAAAGACAGAACTTATGGAAGGGGAAATCCAAGTGAAATTAAATAAACTGTGGGAATGGGGCTGTGGAGACAGAGATGGCCTACATGTGCTCCAAAGGCCAGAGCCAGAGGGTTGGGGCTGGGCATCACCAGTGTAGGTGTATAAAGGAAACCCACAGAGGCACCACCCAAAGCACACAGAAATAAGCCAGAAGACAGGTATAACTCTGATTAAGCTCCCAGAAAAGTGCAAGAGGCAACAAGCTAAATACTTGGAGAAGATACCAGAAAACCCCTCTAGAGACTTGCCCTGTAGTCCCACAGACACAGGTCCACCTGGAGGAATCTACAGGTTTCTCTCCAACTCTTCTGCTTCCTTTAAGGTTAAAATCCAGCCTGGATAGTTAAAGGGTAGCACCCTGAGACTTCTCCCTTTCCTGACCGCTTAGGGAAGCACTCGATAAGTTCACAAAATGACATTTTACAGTACCACTGGCATTTAACTCAGCACTCCCAGAAAAGGAGTCAGTGTTTTTAAACCTCAGCTCCCTGAAAACTTTGTGTTACATCAGTTACGCTCTAATCATGTTTCCAAATCTTACAGCTTGGAGTCAAAGTAGACAGGTGTATCTGCACCATCAGCTGGTGTGGCCATCAGCTGACATGATTTTCTGGTGTAGACACCTGGCCCTAAGGATTGCCAGGAATCTCACTCAACATCTTCTGTCATCTACTGCCAAAGAGGTTTAGTGTGGACATACCACGAAAAAATCTGTCCTCTTGCTTAAACTCTGTGTTCAGAATCTCCAGAGCTTTATCAGTGATAAACACTGCACAATGAAGAACTCTGCAACATCTGGAGTGATATTCTACAGATGCCAAGTATCTCCCAGATGTTACTGACAGCAGCTGAGAGCTGCACTTCTGAATTAATTTTGTTCTGTATTTTCTTAGTTCAAATAAAGATGAGTTGACTTAATTATACTGGCACAGACCTGGGATTCCTTCTCATAATTTCTAGAAATTCACTGCATTGCTGACAACAGAAGGTGTTGGCAGCTCAGATGCACCTGCACAAACTCTCCCAGTGACTCTGTAAAAGGCTCTGAAACACTGAGGACCAAAATAGCTTCCACCAACTCTTCGACTCTGCTGAATCACATGGAGTGATGACTTGTGGAATTCAGGGTTCTGCCTGATGTTGCATGTGAAACAAAGTATTTGTTCTTCCTTCACACAACTCAAGGATAAATAGTTAGAAAATACAGTTATTCAGGAAATTTTTTATGCTGCAGGTTACAGCAGAGACTCTGGTGGGTGCTTCTGCGTATCACTGCAAAACATTGCCCCACTCATGACATCTTATTGCTTGCAGCTGAAAGTAGTAGCAATATTAATCCTGATCCTTCCTCAGTCGGGTAATGTGTTTCCCCGAGGGATCCAAGCACGGGCTCTGATTTCTCCCAGTACAGCTGGAGGTGTGGGTTGTCTAGGCCATGCGTGCCTTTTCCCACTTCAATTCATTTCAAGTCAGTGGCATTTGTGTGGCTTCTCTAAATATCAAAGCATCGCTATTTCTGCAGTCGCTGCTAAGTGATGCTTTGCGTGACCTAAATTTCTAGGTATTAAAAGAGAAGCTCAAGTAACCACAAATACTCTCCATCATTCCCCCCATCCTGACCACTCAAGGTGTCTGCCTAACCTGGGCACACTTACAGTCAGTGCTTTGAGATGGAATATCCGACCCACACGCCTCTCCCTGGCCATGGTTCTGAGTGTGGATCCGGAGGAATGAGTAATCTTCTCGCACATGGCTCATCAGTGCTGCAAAGGAGGTCACCTCAAAGGAGTCACAGAGCTGAGAAACGCATGTGTGTACAGACTCATGCACAGCATCTATTTTTGGAACCAAAACTGCAGGATGAGCCAGATAGAGACAAAATGTATGCAGTGAAAAGATGCAATTCAGCCTGTAAAGGCAAGTGCGTGGTGAGAGTTGTGTGTTTGAGGTTGCACTGATGGGTAATGCAGGACCCTCAATCAGAAAACAAGGCTCTTTTTGCTGTGATGGCTCAGGTCCTCTCCCTGGAATGATGGCTACTCCTTATTCACAATCATAAGAGCAACACTGACACTAAATACCCCTGGCAGCAGAGCCCCAAAATCTACCCAACAGTTCTTACTGGTCACCAGAAGACTCGGGTCATGATCAGCACCCACATCTCTGCATCTCTATGTACCATCAGTTTTGGCGCAGGATAGCAAGGATTCAGTACAGCTTGCCAGCAAATGCTGTCCACAGTGCAAGAGAGCTGCTTCCCTTCACCAGTCAAAAATACACATCTGGAATATTTGCATCCCCTGTGTTATCTAACTTGGGATGTCTGAAAATAACAGAAATATGAATTATGATCTTTCCTTCTTCTTGCAATACCTCTGGGAGGGAGAGGGGTGAAGTGCAGCAAGAAGGAAAGGGATCTCCAATACAAGGGAAAGAGCTCATGCTATTTTGTGGGCAACAGAAAAAAATATGATTTGATCTCTTCTGTCGTGTATGGGAAAATATGTGGGAAACAAATTGGCAGAAATTCCAAGACAGCAATTCACAACTGTTCCTGAATCACCTGCGTTCAAGCAGCTTCTCTGCATTCAGGATCCATTACAGCTTTATGACCTGCAGTAGTTACACAACTTGCTGCAAAGCCAGAAAGATGAGTCAGGAGTGTGACTTTTGCTGAGAGATCTTTCCTGTTTTCTATCAGTTCCAAAGGCAGCAAAGGAGATGATACTTACTACACACACTGCACAAAATTCAATACAACCCATAGCTGGGGGTAAGCTCAACTGGGTAAGATTTACAAATGGTATCCTTCCAGACATGAGCCCAGCTCCCTGAGCAGGTCACAGAGAATGCAGCAGGGACTCCAGTGAGTCTGAACATTGGAAAAAAAGTATCCCAAAGAATCAAGAACAAGCAAAGAGGAGCAGCACAGTCTGGCAGCTGCCATTCCCCTCTGCTTCACTATACTAAACAACCTCACAGCTTTTAAGCTTTCACAACAAACCTCCCCATACTTCTAAATTAACATCTGGATGCTAAATAAACAACACCAAGCTAAGTCACCGTCCAGGCAGGGCCAGCAGGGCTGCCTCCTGCACCCTAAAAGATTCTGGAGGGAAAACCCATCCTGCTGAACCAGCAAGGACAGGGAACACACTACTGGGGAGCACCAGGAGAAGCACCATTCAGGAAAACCACTGTTAACTTCAGAAATATACATTAAGTTTTCAGGGTGCAATTCCCTGAAATTCGGGGTGCAATTCCCTTCTGGAATTCCCCCCAGCCCCCTGTGACAAGCAGAATGGCAGCACTGCACAGCAGAGGAAAGCCCAAAGCCGCTTTACTCAACTGAATTTGAAAACTGCAGTTCATGGATACACCTGTTAGACAGTCAAGCCATAAATACCCACTTCAGGGCTTTCAACACAGCTTCAAACATCTTCACTTAAACAGAGGTCTCCTAATTTCCTCCAACAAGGCAATGGGGAAACACTGCTGAAAGAATTTCTCCTGGAAAACAACGTTATGTTGAAATGCGTGTTCAGAACATGCATTTTTTGACAGTTTCAAATCCAGCCTGATAAATGCAGCGTTCTGCCCAAGTCTAAATATGCACATTAGCCAGGATCTGGTAAGCAAGGAAACAAAAGGAGGATTAGGTCTTGTCAGCACTATGCTACAGCAGCACTGGATACTTTACTACTGGAAGTCTACAGTCTAGTGTCACTCTCACCCAAAGCATCGCGCAGGAGGATTTTTTGTCCTAAGCAGACAGAAGGAAAATAAAAATGTCATGAATAACATTAATATGAAAGTTAGATACAAGCAAGCTCTTAATGGTTAATATGAACACTTTCCTAAAGTTGCACTTATCAGGAATCCACAATGCCATGGCAATAGGAAAGGATTTGATTTCGTTAACAACTTTTTACACTGCACTGACTGAGCACAACTGATTGCAAAAAATACGAATCTGTGGTCCATAAGAAGGGATCTTAACAGAATGAGTTTTATTTCAAAAGGCTATAAAGTGGAGGGAAGAGATAGAGTCCCTTGAGATTTCTAACACAGGCTTCACTGTCAGAAATAAAAGCAGGATCAGAAGAGCTGTTATCAACATCTGCACGTACCACATCCCGTCTGCTTTGCCAGAAAAATTACAAGTCTCTAGTTGAGAAGATGACTCTGCTCAGAGAAGCTATTCACAGAAATAAATGCTAGAACCACATGATTCCCAAATTAACTATCTATCTATTCATACCAAAGCTGCAAGGCAGCGAGAACACAGATGTTTTGCTCAGATTCCAGCTTTTCACTTGTCATCCCATGATCCAAAAGCCAAACTGTAATCAGACTGACTTCAGCAGTAACTCTGGCCTAGGCTAGGTTTTGTCTATACTGTGAAAACTGGGGCTTAAACCAATAGGAAGTACCCAGGATTTTCATTTAAAGTTCCTGGCTCAAGTTTACCCTGAAGGCTCCATTATGCATCTGAACTAGAGCTGCCACCTCTAATTACTTTTCTGTTTTTACTATTTTGAATACAATTCAGCTAATTGCTCCCTTTCCCACTCCCTATTGTATTTATCACCTTAGTTTTGGTGCCCTGAGTGTAAGCGGCACAGGTGGTGCAGCAGGGGTGGTGCCCCTCGGGTGACAGAATGGATTCCCGCCATGGCTGCAGGAAAGGCAGCACCAGAGAACCAGCAAAGTTCAAGTTTCGATGACTGTGATCAACAGATTTGACAGAGAGAAACACCAAATAAGGAGTATAAGCCACAGAGCAACAGCTGCTCACCTGTACAGCTGCTTTCCTGACCATACTCACACTAAACCAGGAGCCTGACTGGTACCAAATACCTCTTAAAAGCCAAACAACATCTGTATTTGGGGCTACAGAATGGGCTGTTGAGATTTACATCTGAACCTTAACCCCCTCCCAGGAAGAGATCACACTGCATATCCCAGTTTGCACTGCAGCCAGTCTGCATCTTCATAGATGGTTTGGGGTTTGGTTTTACTTTTTATAAAACAGAAGTTCATACTCTGACAAAAATTGAAAACTAATGAAAAATGTATTTACACACCATAATGCTTTCCTTGGCTAGGTGTTTACAATAGGTTTTGGAATGCACATATTGCATTTTCTGTTCTAAGTGAATTTAAGTAATTGGCTTCTCTTTCATCCTTTCCCCCTGCAAGCACTACCCACTGCAGATACTGTTTTATCCATTTAACAATAGCATGCCTTCATAAAAACAGCTCAACAAGAACTTTCATAACCAGAAAAAAGAACTTGGAACCTGTATGTCTAAACATACAGCACACTATAAAGGGGAGAAAGTAAAGTTTATTCTGAAGCTCAGAGAATCTGAATACACTGAGCACCATCTAGTTCATCTATCATGGGCACATGGAACAACTGCTTCTGAACACTGGGTTTGATCAGTAGATTCCAGATCAGATCAGATTCTAGATAATGGGCTCTTAGCATAGGACACTCACCTCTCCTTTCCATATTTTTTCAGGAAGTAATATCTATGCATTTGAAAAAAGTAAGTAGAGATGTTTTTTCAAAGTAGAAGTAAGTAGGTATTTCTATATCCCATGTAAGTTTTTAATTAAAATTGAGAAAGAACAATGAATCTCCATCAGAAATGAAGTTATAAATCTTACCTTTGTCAACTACATCCCATACTTCAACTTTCACAATATCATCAGTGGCTGGAAGCACAATAAGAACAAAGGATTAGAAGAAGGTTTCAATGATATGTCCTCAATGCTCACCAGAGAGAGCCCAACCCAAAGCCAACATGGTGAAAGCAGCACAGCAATGTCAAAAGAAAAGCAAACCCTGTGTGAGAAGAAAACCCAACCAGAACAAGAAGGCTGTGTGCTGCTGAAGGTCCAAGCTGTCAAACAAAACCATGCTATCTAAAGAACTTCCTAAAGATTCTTAGTCACATAAGTGTTGGTTGGATTTCCCTGATGGTTCATGTCAGATTTGAAGCATGTTGTAAGTATTTTGTGTAGATTCTTTTCATAACATACAGAGCTTTCCATAGCCCTTCAAAAATGATAAAAATTTGATGCTGAGGATAAAGTCTGCTCTATCAGCAAGATGTACAACTGAAAAAAGGAATATACACATTTAAGGAAGATCAACCTGTGGCATGTCCAGGTAAACGTGACAGCCCTGCAGCTACCAGAAACATATTTCCTCTGCACATTTCCAGGGCATTTTGTGAAAAATACAGTCTCACTAGCACTGAAGTTGCAGCATCAATAAATTACAAGCAGCAACACAACCATATATTTGAGTTGCTAAAATCTGAAGCAAGACATGCAAAATTCTAACTCCAGTGACTGGCACTGATAGTACAGACAGCAGTTTCACTTTTGGGTGGCATGAGGGACAGGCAGTTCTGACACAATCCAAATAGGAGTCTGATCTTCAGGAAGTTGTTCCAAGAACAGCTGGTTTTTGGAAATGTTATAGGCTTCAAAGCAAAAGCTTGTACTTGGAGCAGCTCTGAACATAAAGCAATGGAATAGGAGAATAATGTCTCAGAGTAGAAAATAATCTCATAGGATGGCATGAGAGTTTAGCTAAGTGTCACTGTCAAACCAGGAAAAATTTTCTCTACAGAATTCATTGTTGGTTTAACTTACATGCTTCAAAATATTGTAAAGACAGACTATGAATAAAGGAAAATTTTGATCCTCTGCTTCTGGAGAAAGATCGTTTTTACATTTATGCATGACACAAAATCAGCCTCCGTTTTCCTCCCAGTAACTTTCACTTATCTCCCCTGTGCCAGCTGGCAGTGGGCACTGCACACACACAAGAGACTCCCCCCAGGTCAGCCAAGCCGGTGCCTCGCAGGACTGAAAGCACACGGGTGTACAGCAGCCTGCAGTCTGAAAACTTCTGCTCAGAACAATTCAATCCCCAAATTAATTCTGTCCCTGAACATTCCCACACACCATCAAGCCAGGTACAGCTATTAGTCATTCCCCTGGCACCCAACTGAGCCAGCTCCTCACCCGCAGGCACTGGCACTGCAAGGAGCTGTCCCTGTGCCCTGGACTGCTCACCCTGTGGATGCTGGGACACAGATCAGCCAGTGGAGGTCTGCCTCAAATTCCTGCCCGCAGGTGATAAGGTAGTCCTGGTGCCTTTCCACAATCAAGGCTTGCTACAAAAGGGTAGGAGATGTTTGCCTTTTCCAGATGTCAGATTTTGCAGGGGTTTAGGAGGAGCCCAGAAAGCTACTTGCTCTTTCAGCAGTGCCAGGTGAAGCTGTACATCAGCACTAACAGGGGGCTCCAAGGGCGAAGCTGGAACCCCAGTTCAGAGAAGTGAGCCCTTGTGGTGACAGGCAGTGTTCTCCCATGAGGTGACCCAGTGCTTGGCAGTGGGACTTTGCTCCAGAGCTGTCCACCTCCTTATCAGGAGCCAAACACACCCTCAGTTATGATTTGTTGGCTGCTGAGTGATTCCCGCAGTACTGACACCCTGCTGAGCAGGCAGCTGGGAAGCTGAACTTCCTGACCCCCACAGACCTGCTCAACACCCCTTCTGTCTGAGGGGAAGGTTGGAATTTCTCAAAGAAAATGAGGTTCTGCATGAGATCCAAGAAAACCAAAACTGTATTTCCACATGCTCCTGCTAGCTCACAGCCAGGAATTTCTTCCTTTTCCTCAGTAGTGTCACTCCTGATGATCCTGATCATGAAAGAGGATAACTGCTTTAGTGCTGCTGCGTTGGCTTTGGTGTGTGCCTCATGCCCAGTAGCATCTCACCTGAACTGGCTCTGGAAAGGATGTTGCAGTAAAAACAGAGCCAGTTCATCCTTTCAGCTCCTTAACTTGGATTAGCACAAACCATGATCAAACCACCACAAAGATCTGTTCTCAGCTGCTATTTGGTCACGTACTCCAGAGCACACCAAACACTGCTTTCCCAGAAAACGGTGGAGAGCTGTGAGAAGACTCCAATTGCAAGAACATTCATTTAAAAATAAGAATCATCAGATTGTGGGTGGGTTCATCACCAGGAACTCACAGGCCCTCAGGCACTTTTACTCTCCTGCAATGACAAGATTCACTCCATTCGCTCTGGATCACAAATCCTGCAGTGCAGGACAGCTCTGCCATCCCTCACTCCCACCCATAATGCATTCAAAAGATTTGAGCGAAACTATTTGTCAATATTTATTTCAGCCTTCATTTCTGAGTCTGCCAGAGAATAAAACTGGTGACTAGCAAAATCTAAAAAAAGTGTTCCTTAGGGTCAGGAACGGGTAACTCCTTACTTGGACAAAAAAATTACAAATAGCCATTACAATTGGCACAGAAAAGCAACTTTGTTCACTCTGCGTAGGAAGAAGTAACTCAAATTCTGCTACCTTTACTAATTCCCCCAGTATAAAATTTCTGAAGGTGCTACATTCCACATCTAAAATGTCATTCTTCTAAGACCAGGCAATGTAAGAATCCTTCAATATTTGACAGCAGTTTAATTAACATCTATAAATATTTGCTGCCAACTCCTTCATAATATTTATTCAAGGCAGCTTGAGAGCATGATCACAGGAAAAACAAACTTTATTTTTCCTTTACTGATTAACTTGGCCAACGGGGCAGGAATTACATCTGAGCCAACTACTCTGAGGGCCCACATCACCTGTCTCGGATGGAAAGTTCTCACAGCAGGACACAGACTTCACAATATCTTTTAAAATGGGGCTTACTTTTTAAAACAAGTATTAAGAAGCTGAGTAGAGAATTTCCTATACTACTGGAAATTATTACTAAGACAATAGCACAGTGTTTTACAATGCAAAAGAAACACAAATGAAAGGCACAATTTGAGGTACAGCCTTCCAGGTAGTTAGACAAGCTCAGCAACACTTCACCTTGAGGGAAGTCCATCAGCACACGTACATACTGCTGTCAGCTCTGGCCAGGGAGTTCTACAGAAACCCAGCACACCAAGGTTAGAACTGGGCACTAGAAATAACCCAGACACCTGTGGTTCTCAGCACACAGCAAAGCCACCCCAGGTGTAAGTGCTTTCTATCCCATTATTGCACCCATGTTGAAGAAGTCAGTGCTGGAGACTCAGCTCAGGAAAAGAAATGCAGACACAGGTGAGATGAGTGGATCTTTCTCCAAACACCATTTTGCATGTACACATGCATTTTGTACCTGTCTGTGGATACAAAACCAGTTAGGTAAGAATAAACCTCTTAGAATTAAATGCCAGTTGTATCTACCAGCAGTGCTGTGTTACCTACACTCGTCAGAGAGGAAACCCAACTCTGACCTTTAACCTGTGATAATGCAGAAACCCACAATTAACACTCAGTGCATCCTTTATACTCGCATATCTAGGAAAGAGGAATTTCATTTCTTACTCTGATCTAAGTCTGTTTAGGTTGAAGCATTCAAGTTTGATTTTGGAGATAGTTTCCATCATTCAAACAACTTGTAAGCTCTGTGTTCATTCCTCGGTAACTGATGTGCTGATATCCTGAGAGAGAGGAAGAGGAGTGAGGGGAAGGATGCCACAGCCAACATACACCATGCCAGAGGCTTGGCTGTAGGTGGGAAACACTACTGTGTGACCACAGCAGATCTGCTGGTGAACGTACCCTGGGGCTTTGTGAGCATTGGCACAAGACTTGGGCATCGTGGTGTCACCTGGCAATACAAATTTGAGTGGTGAATCAGACCCAGCACTCAGCTTGGAGCTCACCTCAATACATGGGGTGTTCTCCCAGCTGAGAGGAGATGGACAGTACCTGATTCAACAGAATGTCAGACTGGGGCAGATGGACCACGTCTGATAATGACAAACAACTGCTGACTTTTTGTGTACAGCATACTCAGCCTTACAATTTCATACTGAATCAGCAGTTCATCCCACAAGGCTGTGGCTTTCTTTGTCAGGAACTTGAAAGCTGGACTTGATGCACTGTTGAGTCACAGCCTTATGCAATTTCAGTGCCTGCAGCGTCTTCTCAAGCAGGAGGCAGGGCTTTCACAGCCACTTTATACTATTAGAGTAACAGGGAAAATTAAAATAAAAAATCTTATCTGATCACCCAGAATCCAGCAAGCACTTAAAAAAGGTACTGGTATTTCTGTGCTTTGGTAAGTCAGCCTAGAGCTAAGAGTACTACCATTAATTTTTGAAACATCACCTTCCCCAGTTACCAGATGCTCCATCCCAGTTTCCATCAGTGAAATCTAGTTTGCTGCCTGCTATTCACTTCTAGGCAACACACTAACACCCAAAGCAGAGTTGGCCTCAAGAGACAGATTTATGAAATAACTCATTTTCTTTAACAAGTCAAGCATATCACAAATATCTCAAATACTTTAGACCACCTATTAAATGCTTCCCTTGAACTGTGGCTTCAACAGAAACTTTAACACTTAGAACAGTTTCTGACAAAGTTATTAAAAACATGACTGAGAAATTATGAATAATAAATTAAAATAAAAAGTGATAAGAAACCATTTTATCTCCTAAGAAGACAGAGAAGAAAGAAGCAAATGAGGCTGCAGAGGAATTTCCTCCCCCAAGGCACTGTCCCATGACTGTCAGTCCCTCCATTCTCTTCCATCTTACTTTTATAATTCCAGTGGATGCTGGTGACTTGGATCTCCTGAGTCGGAATATATTCCTCAATAAATTTCTTTCCCTGCAGTCGGTGCCAGAGTGTGGTTTTCCCAGTGTTCCTGTCCCCTCGGATGACAATTTTCACTGGGGAAAAGAACAGGCAGACAAATAAACTTGATTAAACACAACTTGAAGAACACTCTGAAAAGCACGTTAATTTCTTGCAAGCATTATTCAGATGTAATTAGTCCTCCCATATTACACAGGCATGATGGGGTTCATTAGAAAACAAGAGCCCCAGTCATTAAAATCAATCCTTATTCAGTAACTCACACCAGCTCAGCAGAAAGAACCACTAGCAAGGCTGAATCTTCAAAATCTGCACAGCTCCAGCCAGCTGAGCCTCTGCTCTGTGACAGACGCATTTGATCCCTTACCCAAACCAATAGTAGTTTGGTTTAGGCTTCAAAGGAGGTAAAGGCCTGAGCCATAGCTGGACCAAGAACTCCTCCAGGAAAGCCAGAGAGGAGCAGTGACACAGCCAGCTGCGGTGCACATGAGGCTGGAACACCACACCAATCATAGATTAACACAAGAATACCAGGCGGCTTTTCCAAGAGTTTATCGAGGAACAGAGGAAGTTGTGGGTACAAGAAGTCTCCTACACACCCTTCCCGCTGTATGCAATTAGACTACAAGCCCCATGTTATCCCATCAATACGACAGCCCAGGTGAGCCTTCCTTGAGCTCTCTCTGCCCGGCAGCGTGGCTGCATGGCGAGGACCTCCCCTGCAGCTGGGACACCTCCTAAGCTTCTCCTCGAGGCAGACGTCTTTTCCTGTGACAGACTTCCGGAGGAGTCTAAGCAGAGCTTTGTTTAAACTGTGGCTGGACTGCCTCTCCCTTTCAGCTGCAACACCTCTCCAGGTCTGAGGTTCCTTACCTGAGACTGAGAGATCCCTCTGTCCAGGGCAGAGAGACCCCCTCCACCCCAACAGTAAGGGACTGATGGCATGCAGAGTCAATACTAATGAAATTGATATTCAGTATTAGTTATTATAAACTTTGCATAGATAATTCCATTAGACATAAACTGCTGTCCAAATCTGAGACTAAGACTGGACCCAGACGCACCTAAGCTTGATAACGAATTTAGAAAGGGGGTCCCCTCTGAACCTCGTGATCCAAAAGGAGGGTCTCCCTCACCCTTCTGCATCTCCAGTCTCTGTGTAACTCATTCCAGATCAATTCTAGCTCCATTTTTCTCTGGGTGTTCCGTGCATGTGCTCAGTAGCAGAGTGAACTTTGCCATCGAGTGGTGTCAAGTCACTCTTGAACTATACCACATTCAGACCACTTTTGCTCATACACTGCTGATGATTCTTTAAGTGATCTAAATCACCCATTAGCAATCCTCCCATCTTTCTACCTTCTCTACCTCTCCCTGGCCCTTACTTCCATTCTGCCATACCCTATTCCCTTGCTGGTCTTTTCTGCCAGGCTTCTCCTTCCATTACCTCCTCTACCATTTCCATTTCTCCTTAAACACGTCTCATTTCTTGAGAAAACAGAAGCACAGAATCATTTAGGTTCTCTAAGATCAGCTAGTCCAGCATTCCCTCAGCATTGCCAAGGCCATCACTAAACCATATCCCCAGGTGCCACATCCACGTGGCTTTTAAATCCCTTCAGGGATGCTGACTCCTCTACTGCCCTTGGCAGCTGTGCCAGGGCTGGACAGCCCTTTTTGTGAAGAAATTTTTCCTAATATCCAAACTAAACCTGCCCTGGTGCAACCTGAGGCTGTTTCCTCTCCCACCACTTGGTACTTGGTAGATGAGCCTGACCCTCACCTGGCTACAACCTCCTGTCACGAGGCTCTTGTGTTGGTTGCTTCAGTTTAGACAGAAACTCATTCAAACTCTTCCACGGAAATCAAGTGTCCAAATATCAAAAACTGTAGCAATTAATATCATGAACTTTCCAGAGCTGACCCGAATGTTACCTCATTCTTTCTGAAAACCCCATGTGTTGTTTTCTAAATTTTCTGTTACAGTGTAGACACTTGTATTTAAAATACCACCCTTGTTTTTAGTGGCAACCACGGGAGTACTGGGAAACGTAAGCTGGGCTGAACTGGATTTTTATGCTCGCGTTTTGAATTGGAGCTGTGATTCCCTGGAAAACGGGCCACTCACAGACATCTAATGGCAGTAAGGTGGTTAGCATTAGGTTGTGCATCATCATTTGGGCAAGGAGATCTGAGACCAAAGGCTGCCTTCTGCTGCAGCTCAGGAGCTGTTGCAGTCATTTCAGAGAAGAGCTGAAGAGGTCAACTTGAAGATAAAACATACACTAAGTCTGTGGAGGAGTTCTGTCTGGTGCTGCAGTTCCACTGTGCTTTTGCTGTTGTACACAACAAAAAGAATAATCTTTTTCAGAGCTGTTTATTCTTTTACAAAATTACTTACTATCACAGCATGAGGATAACAAAGGCAAAAATTAACACGGTATTTATAGGCTGACTTCACTTACATGTCCCAGAGCATCTCTGCAGACACAACAAACCAATTCCTGCATTTCCTGTCATCCGTGTGTGATTCTATTTCCTACTTACAGATGTTGAAAAAAATTGATGAAGGATTCCTTTGATTTTTTGGAATCATGAAGCAAGTCCATGGCATGAGCAGAATGAGGCTCCATTTGTCCCCTTTCAAACTCAAACCTTTTCAATATGCTCTCACTGCCTGCCTTAAAATGTTAAAATCCACATTCCCCCATGGAATGTAACATGAGATACCAAAACAGTGAGTTTTAAGGGACAAACAGACCCTTCAGAAAGAGTCAGGCTGCTCTCAAGGTGCACTTTGAGGACCACTCTCAGATGACATGGTTGTGAGCTCTCCCCTGCAGGGACAGTTGTGAGCTCTCCCCTGCAGGGACAGTCTTACCTCCTGCAGGACTTTCCCAGTGCCAACACCGTTGTTTATGCAGTTACACCTGGAGTTGGATCAAGAAACTGAACAGGCTGAAAAATAACCTTGAAATTATCCATTTTCAGTTTTCTTTTGTAGCTCCAGTGCCCAGCTGCACGAGCACCACACAGGAGGCAGAGCTGGAGTGGAGAGGAAATCCCCCCCACCCCAGAGCAGCTCATGTTTAGATCAGTGCAGGGTGCTTGTGGCACCACCTGCTCAGTTTGAACAGGTCCAAGGGCCCCTTCCAGCTCCAGCACTCTCCATTAGCATCTCTGTTCTCCTACATAGTGCACAAGTTCTCACTGACTCTTCCTGAAGAAAGAGCAGGAAGGAGGCAGGTGACACAAATCACTTTCAGCAAAGCAAAATCTGTACTTGGGACTTTGGCTGGGGCAGGCATACTGTGACAGGAAAAGCTGACTGAGCTTCAGAGCATAGCCAGGCAGGTATATCCAGGCCTGGGCTGTGGCTGAATGTGGAAAGAGGAGCATAATGACAGGTGAGGTCAGTGCTGTCACCTGCAGGACAGTAACAACTGCTGCCTTGATTTGGAGTTAAATCAGTACTCACAGCAAACAGCCACAGGTTTATAGCAAAGACAGGAGAATTATCCGTGGGAAGAAGGGTAGGGATGGGGGATAGATCAAGTGGCAAGAAAAAAGCTAAACAAATCACTTTATTCATATTGTTACTGTCTCAGGAAAACCAGAGGGATTTCCATTCTCCAGAGGGGAAACAGAAGCAGAGAAGATACAGGCCCAGAGAGCAGGTCTCAGACCAACTAGGACTGGAAATCAGGAATTCCCAGCTCTGCCCATATTCCTCCAGGACCCTGCAGCAAAGATCCCCAAACTAATAACCCCATGCAGACAGCCACAGCCTCGTCCTCACAAAGGTCTTAGGGACTGCAACTGAAATGCTTTGAGCTGTTCCTGCTGCCAGAAACAGCACCACCTGCTCTGCAGACCCCCTCAAGCACAATCAAAGCAGCGGGCAAAGCAGGGCTGGCACATGTTGCACAAACACTTGTGTTAGGCCACAGAAGAAAACAAGAGAAAGTGGGAAGTAGCAGGAAGAGGAGAAGCCTTTCTTTTGGGAATTGTGCTGAATGAAAACACTTACCAGAGTCTGCAAACTATGACTCTAAAGCAACACAAAAGAAGTAAGGACTATAATGCTTACTAAACAGATACACAATATTAATTAGGTTTTATCTTTTAAGGTACATTTTAGGCAGAAAAGTAATAAGGAGAGTGACTAGGGGGAATTCTTGAGCTACTGCCTTTGGTACTACAGACTGTTCAACCTGTGCTTCAGGCACACACAGCTGTGGGGTTTGTCAAGTGATGTGCACACTGCATGCAGCATATAAAGCCCAGAGCAGGAGGTGTTCCATGTTCTGGGGAACAGGATAGATGGATCTGAACCTTCCCTGATCACCAGTGGATAACTCCCAGGGAATGCCCAGCCAGAGCCATTCATTTCACCCTTGTTTGCCCATCCCTGCCTTACTTAAACAGTCAGGTTTGAGTACCCTGGTGCTGGTACTGCCCTGTGTAACTGGTCTTGTAATTTGTTCAAACAAGCACCGCAGCCCAAAGGAGATCCATCTCCTCTCTCCACCGAGCCCACTTGCTCTGGCCGTGCTTCCTCCCGGAGCCAGCACAGCCCTCAGAGTGGCAGCACAGCACACCTGATCCAGGGCCAGGCTATCCCAGGCAGGAAAGCAAGAGCAAGCTTTTACCAAGATTGGTTCCCCACCTTCCACCCTCGGAACCACGATCCCCTGTAAGCATCCCAGCCATTACACACATGGCACAGACCCATCATTTCCAGCTCTGTGCCTTCTGAGCACTCAGGGAACTTTGGTGTTGACTGGGCTACGGCACAGAAACTACAGCAGCTCTGTGCAGGCGGTATGAAGGGCAAACAAGGAGTGTCTGTGCTGGAATGCAGTATGGAAATGCTTTCCT